AACAAGAATGATAAAACAATACTGATTATGAATAACTTTCTAATCTGGGTCCCAAAAAAGCTATTACTCTCAAAACGCGATTTTGCGTCAAATCACCATAAATGCATCTTTTGAGTTTTCATTAGTGTCTGTTGCCATTCATCGAAATGCATGATAATTATCTTTCAAACTGGATCTGATCTGTAGCGAATTAACAAACTAAGCTATCTGAAAGCAATAGATGCAGTTTTTAAGGTTAGGTTAGGTTATTTAATAACGGCAAAGTCCCGAGGGCTATCTGCTTAAGGGAAGGAATGCCTTCGTGGAGTACTTTCTAAGGGAAACTGGCTCGTATACACGTTACACACGAAAACACCCATGCAGCCAGCCCGTTCGCGGGATTCGAACCTCGGACCGAACTACCAGTGTTCAGCGACTTTACCGCTCGGCCGCTGGTGGGCCTGCAGTTTTTAAGAAATTCGTTTCTACCACTTTTAAATAAAATTGATTTAAATAATAAAAATGTCTTTAATTTATGATATAACTAATTAAAAATATTCAATATTTCCACAGAAATGACGTCATATTTGTTTTATTATTTATTTCATATCTTGTAAAACTTTATTGAATTTTTGATTAACAAACTCAACGATATGAAAGCGAGCAGTGCAACACTATACGGAATAAAACATTTTCATCTTCAGCGCCCGAGATACGCTGTTTTTAAATATTTTTTGATTTGACCGTTGAATTGAATTTTATGTAGCTTTCGCTTCAGAACATTGCATTGTCATTTCAAAACATGTGTACAAAATTTGAACTCAATAGCTCATCAGGAAGTAGGGAGAACGTGATGTTTAATAAATAAAGTTAATACAGAAACGTTAATAATAAAAAGAAAAAAAAAATTAAGATTTTATATTACGCCCAAAAGGGTGTTTTTTTTTTTTTTTTTTTTTCGTTTTTTTTGGTTTTTTTTTTTTTTTTTTTTTTTTTTTTTTTTTTTTTTTGTTTTGTAATGATTTACCTTTATTTATTAAATATCATGTTCTTCGCACCTAAACCATAAAATTCAATAGCAATATCGCAAAATAATTTTAAAATGAGCATATCTTTAGAATTTCCGATTTATTAAATATGCTCTTCGCACTTAAACCGTAAAATTCAATAGCAATATCGCAAAATAATTTTAAAATGAACATATCTTTAAAATTTCGGATACACAGTCTCGCGCCCAGGAGATAATTTTTTTTTTTTTTTTTCCATCAAAAATTCGTTAAAGTGTTACAAAATATGATATAGATAATAAAACAAATTCCGGAGTCTGAATTTGGACTTCCAGATACCCATATTCAGTGGAGGATTACGTTATTCAAAATTTGATGGTGTAGGTACCGTTGTTTTATCACAATGCAAGAAACATACAAACATTTTTGCAGATTCTTCATTATTTAATTTCTTTAAATAGGAAAGGGAGAACTAATACTTGGTGGCAACAATTTAAAATGTAATTCGCTGTTTATAGTGGATCAATGCAAAATGCCAAAACGAAATTAATAGCCTAGGCAAGTTGACACTTTGGGCTAAAAAAGGGGGGGAGGTTAGCAGACTGGCTGACAGGGAACTCAGTGAGAACATTTAACAAACCTTTTTGGGTGATTGGTTAAAAATCTGAAATCTTTCAGTTTTTTTTTTTTTTTTTTTAACTAGACGCATTTTTATAAGGTTTTATTTAACTTCCTTGTGGTATTTGTCAGTACGGTTAAAACTTTGACATTGGGTTTGAAACTGTTTCATGGCAAGCCGTGGAGCTCAAAATTTGGATAACAATAAGATATGGTGGAGCCATATTTTCATTTCAAAATTGTATTTATATATTTTTAAAATTTAACGCCGAATCGATTTTTCACACAGAGTGTTTTACAAAGGGCATGGTGATTGGATTGAGAAGGGCAGGTTGGTCCATATGGAAAATCTCCGCTGACACACAACTGGACGCGTCCACAGTGCAATAGTTGTGCCGACGATGGATGGAACAAGGAAATGTGCCAAGTTTGAGGGGTGCTGGTGCAGCCCATGGACCTTATAAGAAATAGACTAACCCAGTGGGCGGGGCGCGCGTCACCGACATGTCGGCAAGAAAGAGTAGGGACGATCTGGTTTACTTTAACACTGAAACCTATGGCGTTTGTATCACATAACTCATTTTAATTATTAAATATGATACGTTGTATAGTGATGAGATTATAAAAGCCACAGATTTTTCCAAATAGAATTTAATATATCTCATTAAAGCACTTTTTACTGCATTTCGGGCATTTTTTTCACACGTAATTCTTGTACAAACATGTTTACTTTGGTAAAACGATAAAAACGAAAAGTACAAAATTTATGAACTTAATTTTACGTACAAATGAAGTAAAATTAAATAAGATTGATAGTACATGATGCTTTGAAATAAATAAGGTAAAATTAAACAAGATCTGATAATTTTTTTAAAAAAATTTAATGAACATTTTCAGGCAGTGATTTTTAAAAGTATAACAACATTACAAAACGATTATTTATTTGATTATATCATCATTAAATTATTAACATTAAAGTGGATTGGTTATTTTAATAATTCATAAAATTTTCTGAGCGAAATGAAGGGAAAAAAAAGATAAAATAAAATCTAGAAGCACTCAGATTTTATATTATGCCCAAAAGGAACCTTTTTTTAAAGTTTTGTGTGTTACCTATATTTATTGAATATCATGTTCTTCGCCCATAAACCACATACATTTGAAAACAGCATATCTTTAGAATTTCCGCACTGGAGATAAAACTATTATTTTCCGTACAGTGCTCGCTCTGAACTCATTGAGTTTGTTAATCAAAAATTCGTTAAAATTTTACAAAATATGAAATAGATTAAAACAAATTCGAAATTCGACCGTCCAGATGCCCATGTTCGGGTGGAGGATTACATTATTCAGAATTTGATGGCTATAGATACTGTCGTTTTTGTCACAGTGCGAGAAACATACATGTATTCATGCACATTCTTCCTTATTTAATTTCTTTAAATATAATACAGGGCGATAATATTTGGTAACAACAATTTGCAAGGAGACACGGACATTTATAGTAAAACAGCGCAAAGTCGCTTCGAATCTAACAGCCTTTCTAGGCTACTGTCGCTTTGGGCTAATAAATTAAATTAACAGTAAATAAAAAAAAATCTTATGCAGAACTAAAAATAAATTTTAAAAAATAAACACTATAAAATACAAGCAAAATTAATTATTATGGTTAAATACAATTTTAATATTAGAATTAAATGTATAAAAATTTTCACAGAGTCAAAAGTGTTTATCAGTTTGATGTATTATGAAATATAATTCAAATAAAATTCCTTTATAAAAATTATGCTATAATACTCATCTATAATTTTAAAAAATCCGCACAATTTAGAATTTTAAACAAAACTTTCGAAAATTCGTTTTTAAATATTTTAGTATTTTTTACTTATTTACACCAATAAAAGCAAAAAATTCCAAGAGAAAATTGCTTGTTTGAAATTTTCTATCAGTTCAGATTTAAAATATTATTTTCTAAAAGAAGTAGTTACAAATTTCCTTACAGCATAGGGAAAGCTAAAAAAAAATATCCAGTCCTCAAACCATGCAATAGCTTTATAATTATTTGGAACGTTAATTATGCTTCATAAATATGCTAAATTTTTAAAAATCAATCTCAATTTCAAAAATAAAAATATGTAGGAATTCTAATTTGCGAAATGAGGCGCTACAACCAGCTTTTTCTTGACAATTATACACGCTGCAATAGGCAACTACTGTTAAATTTCTGCAAGTCATCCCTACTCCTCCGGATGTGATCAAGGTGACAGCCGGCAACGCCTCAGACGAGGGAGAAAACCCGTTTGGGTTAGTCTATTTCTTATAAGGTCCATGGTGCAGCCAGAGTGACGTCAGCACGCATGGATCGACGCATCTGCCGATAAGCGGTGGTGCACCCGCAAGCCACTTTTACCTCCATTCTGCAGCATGTTCAAGACACTTTTACCTCCATTCTGCAGCATGTTCAAGACACTATGAATGTTCCCATATCGAAAAAAACCATTTGTCGTCGATTAGTGGCTAGTGGCCTTTTTAAAGTCCTTTAAGAAGCCTGCAACTGACCCTACATCATAGATGCCAACATCTGCAACGGTGCCAGGCTCGAGCGACAGAATGGCACGGGGTCGTGTTCTTAGATGACTCACGCTTCTGTTTCTCCAATGATAGTCGCCGCGTACGACTGTGGAGTTGATGCGGAGACAGCTCCAATCCGGCAGCGATTGTTAAGCATTCCACCATGCCAAAATGCGGCGCCATAATTCGAGATGCAATTACGTAAGATTTTAGGTCACCTATAGTTTGTATTCAGCGCACTATGACGACTCAACGATATGTGGATGATATGCTGTGTCCAGTGACACTCCCCTACATTCAAGGAGGGCCCAATGCCCCCTTTATCATCAGGATAATGCCTGAACACACACTGCTCGCATCAGCCAATGTGCTCTGCAAGGCGCACATATGCTTCCTTGGCCACCGTTTTCACCTGGTATCTCACCAGTCGAACACATTTTGGTATGTGATTGGACACCGTTTGCACACCCTCCCATTGCCGCATTCAGAAGATGAACTGTGGTAAATGGTTGACAGGGAATGGAGAGCCATTCCTCACTCAGGACATCATCCATAGTCTCATTAACTCTGCACCTAGACGTACTTCTTCCTGTATTGCCGCTCAAGGTGGTTCTACAACCTACTGAGCCGATGCATTATCGCTTTGTATTATGCATATAATTTCGAAATAAAAATCATTTATTGGTCGTTGCTGTTTCTCTCTGTCTCCCAAGTTTCATCAGTTTCCGGCCACTACTTTTTGGTGTTGAATTTAAATGCCGGTAGTGTATATTTGAAACAAAGAAAATTTGATAACAGTTAGCACATAAAGGTAATACTCAAAACCTAAGTAAAAAGTTAAATTTATTTAAAAAAACATAGAATATGAAAGCACACATTCAGTCATGATAAGATGATGTTAAAAAGATGACTTTTTAAAATTAAATACTTTCATATTGTAAAATGTGTTAAAAATATCAAAGAATTTTTTTAACAGTCAGTGAGTTGTTTTATTGAACACATGACGGCCCCTTGCTGGCATTAGTTACAGGCTAGTGGTAAAATATATTAATTCTTCGCTGCTATCTTAAAACTATTACTCTTTATGCAGGGGGAAAAAACCCACTATTTTATGCAGTCTAATAATTTGCTTTCATTGCACATTCAATGTGAAATACATAATTATTAAATATTCTAAAAAATAATATTAGCCTGTAACTAACATACATAAGAAGCATTCATATTTCCAACATATAAACTCACTGAATTATTAATACAATTATTAATGTTTTTAATTATTCGCATTGCTCTTTGATAACATAAAGTTCCACAGCATAAAAGTATTTAATTTTAATAAACTTTTATATATGTTTAACTGGAAAAGAAGAAACATACCAATGAAAAATGTTAAATTTGGATTGGGGGTGGGCGATCTTAGATTGCTGTAAGTTTTTTGCTCCAGTAAGAAAGGGACTTGCATTACACTGCCCTTGAAATTGATAGTTTCATTCAAAATCTAGGGCAATCCAAAGTTACCCTTTTGTCTGATTTTAATTTTTCTTATATATTTTATTTTACTGTTTTTATTAATAATATTCGTTAAATTTTTAAGATCTAAAAGGAAGCTTACAGTATTAAGTTTCTTATAGGTCAATAACAAAAATTCAGTTTACCGATTGTGAACATACACATTGATAAAAAGTATATATGCCAGGAAGGCAAATCTAAGATAGCCATCAAATTTTTAAAATTCTGAAACAAAAAGTCAGAAATCTGTTCAATGATGGTTTCTGAGATACTCTACAAAGAGCAAAACTCAAAATTGTCAGTGAAAGATAACTACCAAATTCAAAGACATTAGTAAAAATCTTTTATTATCAGGTTTCCATCTACTCTAAAAGTATCAACTTTCGAGATTAAATGAATATGAATCATTTAGTTTTATGATTTGAAGACAGCTAGACAGTCATATAAGTCAAGGTTAATAAAAGATTTAATTAATAAGAAGAAAATAAGTATTCATTAGCGAAGTAATAATTAACATAAAGATTTTAGATTAAAACAACTACTTCCTACTTACATTTACTTATAGATTAAAAATTTATTAAAATTTTTTAAAAAAAGTCATTTTACTGATTTTAACGGAAAACTTCTTTATAAATCAATCTAAAAAAGGGGGGAGAAAGGGTAAAAAAAGGAAAAAAAGTATATATTGAAATCAGCTGGAAAATGGATGTAAATGAAATTACATGAACTATGTACATCTAATGAAATGTTATCTGCTTTTTACAATATAAAACTATTTTTGCTTTAAACATATTGTCAGACTTCATAACAACAATAACAAATAAGAATTTTAACATTTATATTAATAATTACTCACTGTCAGGCACTCCCATAAACAGAAGGGATACTAATATATTTTCACTGAAGGTATATTAGAAATCTTAATAAATTTATATACATGTAAATATACATAGTGAAGATGGAATGTAAATAGTAGTACTCACAAAACATCACTTGGTCACAAAGATATACATATGTGCACAAGGATGAAAGATGTATAAATTTGCATTACAGAATATTAAATAAGGTAATTGAAATGAACTGAAAATGTTATATAAAATACTGGAAACTCTATTATTAATTATTTTAATATACTTAATTAAAATCAAAACTAGAATAAAACTTCTATCACGATTTTGAAGTAACTTTTTTAGGAAACATGAAAATCTTTTTTAACAAAATACATTTTCTATTAAAATCTCAATATTTAACAAAATACATTTATAAATACATTAATAAATACACTTATAATAAAATGTATGTAAAATTAAAGAAACAGATGTTTGAAAGAAATAGGATTTATGATTCACAAAAGTGATAACAATAAATACATATTATATTATGCATAAAAAGTGCACTTTTCTTTCAGAAAAATAAGCTCATCAGATTCAATTAACATTTAAAAATTAATTCAAATTATTATCAATAGTTCTTTATATTAGAATTCATCTGTCAGAACAATGTTTCATGAAGTATCCAAACGAATAGTTCTCAGTTTTAAGCGGTCTGCTAAAACACAAGCAGCTTCATTTGAGCCACCACAATATTTTGATGAAGAAAAAACGGTAAGTAATTTTCCATTTAACTGAACCTAAATAAAAAAGCTTAAAATTAATAATGTATGTTTTAAATTAAAAGAATAGTTAAATGTATCAAAAGACATATTTTCTGTCAGAAAACTCATGAGAAAGAGAGTACATTACTTTTATCTTAACAAACAGAGAAAACATTTTACTTTTCTAAGCCGCTTAATTAAATTTCCAGTTTTTATGTCATTGCAGTGACTCTAGTATTTTTCTAATATGTTAGCAAAAATTTCTACAGATACAGTAATCATGTATACATGTTATAATGATAACTAATAAAGCATTTTAAATTTATAATTAATAATCTTTAGACATTTGCTTCCTCTATTAACTAGGCTTTAACAAAAAATAATTAAAACTAACTTTGATTTTTCATGTTGATGTTTGTGCAAATACTCGTGCTTATTTATTTGTAATTTGTTTTTTATGCATTTTCGTATTGTAGTATATTTATTTTTGTTTAGTTATTTTTTATGTGTTGTATTTTTATGGTACAGTAAAAACTCGACTTTCGGAAAAGCTAAAAAAATGTGAAATGCATGAAAATTCAACATAGTTGAGCATATTAAAATTGCAATTCACAGTAGAAATGTCAAATGAATGTAATTATACATCTCCAATTTAAAATCATAAAAACATTCATATTATTTGCTACCAATTAAATTTTGTGAGATAAAAGAAAATGGATTTCAGGTGTAAAAGCCGACATATTCAAATGAAAGTAAAACATCTTATCGGATTAGAAATTCCATCAACTATAAAAGTAGGCAAATATCCTGTAAAACTTGAGCCAATTGTTCCGTCAGAAGTTTGAAAAAATACATCGCCAGTGTTATCGATTGTCTAGGCTGCAAACAATGCTTCTCAGTTTTACTTGTCTCTTTTCCCTCCTCTAGGACTTAAATGTGTGGAATAAATGTCTGTGTAATGTCTGGAAATAAGTAATGACATCAATGATTTTTTTTCATACACTCTGGAGAAGCAACATTTTTTATAGTACGAGGCGTATTCGGAAACTAAGTACCATTTTGAAAAAAAAAAAAAAAAAAAAAGTAAAACAATTTTTTCGAATCCAATTTTATTTTTACATGAAAATACATGTCTTAAACTATTTTTCAACATAGTTTCCGCCATTGATCAAACACCTGTCATAGCGGGTGACCAGTTTTTGTATACCATCGTCAAAGAAACTTCCCGCCAGTTTCGATAACCACGACTCCACAGCATTTTTCGTGTCATCGTCAGATCCAAAGCGCTTGCCACCAAGCTCGCGCTTCATGTGCAGGAACGAGTGATAGTTGTATGGTGCCAAGTCCGGGCTGTACGGCGGGTGATCGAACTACTCCCAATGAAACTGTCGAATTAACGATTGAGTGACACCAACAGTATGGGGCCGAGCATTGTCATGGAGCAACACAATTCCTTTACTGAGCATTCCTCTTCGTTGTTTTGAATGGCACGCCTTAGTTTTGTTAAAGTCTCGCAATATCGTGTCGCATTAATGGTTTCACCTCTGGGAAGAAATTCAGTAAGCAAAACACCTTTCCTATCCCAGAAGACAGTGCACATGATTTTTTGTGATGACATTGTCACTTTGAACTTTTGCTTTTCCGGAGAATAAGTGTGCCTCCACTCCTTCGATTGTTGTTTCGATTCTGGTGTGAAATGACACACCCAAGTTTCATCACCTGTCACAATTTGGTTTAAAAAGTTTTCTCCCTCATCACTGTACCGCGTGAGAAATGTCAGGGCACTACCAAGTCACTTTGTTTTGTGAACATCAGTGAGCATTTTTGGAACACAGTTTGTGATAATTCAAGCGGTCAGACACAATTTCGAACAAAACAGTATGTGAAATTTGTGGAAATGCCTCTGACAGAATTGTCATTGTGACAGAGTCGTAGCTAGGGTTTTCAGCACCCAGGGACAACTGAAGATTTTGCGCCCCCTACTGCTTGCAAGGATGGAAAACATTTAATTCTAAAATGTCGTATTTAATTCTAAATCGTCGAGTTTGGCGCCCCTTGGATTCTGCGCCCGGGGATAGATGCCCCCCTTGCCCCCCTCTAGCTACGCCCCTGCATTGTGAAGCGTCTGTTCTCATGAATTGCTTCATCAACTTTCCTTACCAAATCATCGGTGACAACAGAAGGCCGATCACTCCGAGCCTTGGCGTGGACATTTGTTCGACCTGCATTAAACATTCTTACCCACTTTCTCACCATTCCATCACTTATCGTGTATTCACCGTAAACTTCTGTCGCTTGACGATAAATTTTGGCCGGTTTAACATTAATCGCGTTCAAAAATTTAATCACGGCACGAATCTCACAGTCAGCAGGAGAACTAATTGTCTTAAACATTTTGAATGTGCACAGCAAACTGAAAACACAACATAGAGCAACCAAAATGGCAACAATTGAAAGTTAGTGAACAAGAAAGACTATCGCATGCGTGGGATGCCTACCACAGCGCTGCGACGGCGCTAGAATGAAACGGTACTTAGTTTCCCAATACGCTACGTAGAAAAGACAGAGGCCATGATTTTCTGCTAATGGTGCAACATTCAATTTTTTCCTCAAAAAACAATGGTATGTCCCTCCATCTCATAAATGCTTCTTTTACTTGTGTGATGAAATGAAGGATCCATTTCTCACCATCCATAATGGTGTGGATTAAGAAATCACTGCCTTCAGCAAAATAATGCTGAAAAAGGTCTCGCCTCTCACTCCTCCAAAAAAAATTTGGTTTTTTGTGATTGGATGTCAGTGAATGAAAAACTCATCATCTTCAAAAACTGGATTCATACTGACAAAAATTTACAAACAGGTGAAGAAGAAAATGATGAAGAAGACATCATGCAGGAAATTTAGCAGCAATGGATAATTTGTTTTTACTATTTCCAAATAATCAGCTAAATATATGAATATTTATTATGTTCATATGAATAAATAAATGATATCTGAGTGTGTAAATTTTTTTATTATTTAAATATATAAATATATTTATATTTTTAATTATATTAACATTATTATATGGAATTAATCTTTAAATATATAATATAAATATTTATACATTTTATTTTGTTATTTAAATATATAAACATATTTAAGCTGTAATATTTAATCAGCAACTGAGAAATATAATTTTAAATTGAAAAATATATTTTACATTCATTAATATTTGACTTACATCTGTATAATTTGAGTCTGAGAAAAATATAACAGTTTGTAAAAATATCAGCATTTAAAAAATTTTCGTCTTTTATAATCATTTGTTAATCAGATTCAAAACATACAAGACAAACATTTCTTAAAAACAATAACTATCATATATTACAATTCACAAGTCAAGACTTTAAAAAAAAAAAAAAAAAAAAAAAAAAAAAAAAAAAAAAAACTTGATTTAAAAAGTTAAAACAATATCATATATTACAATTCACAAGTCAAGACTTAAAAAAAAAAAAAAAAAAAAAAATCTTGATTTAAAAAGTTAAAAGTCTATCTAGTGAAAACAAAAGACTGAATAAAATTGTAGTTACTGTCATTTAAATGTACTCTTAAAATTACTTTCCAACATTTTTTTGATTAAAAATGATGTATACCTTGAAACCTGCCTGCTGAACTTCATGAGCTCGAATAACATGAGATAATCCATTGCAGTTCAAAAAATTTTCTAAAGCTTCTACAGAAAATACATGAGCTGTATTCCTCTTAACATTAGATAGAAATCCATTATTTTTCTTGAGTTGTTGTTCGATCTCTGGTGTAATATTGTCCAGACTAAAGCAAATTTTAGTTTCAGTGAAATGCAAAAATACTTAAAAAATTACAAAACTGCATAGCTTTGTTCAAAGATGCATTCTTAAATACAGTAACAGAAAAAAAAAAAAAAATTAAAGCACTACAATAGCTCAAAGAAAAATTGATTATAACAAAAATTTGTACGTTATTAAGCTGTTACGAAGATATGTACTTTTTTTCTAATTAACACATATACATATGTGCAATAATAAGTTAAAATAGCAGAATGTAAAATTTATTATTTTCATATACCATCTTCAAATCATCAAAATCTTTGAAAAAGTAAAAAAAATCAACTAAATCAAAAATAACAAACTTTAAATTCTAGAGTGATAAATCCATTTGTGCAAATAGGAATATTCATGCATTTCAAAATATGAAATCATTTCTGCATGCTGAAGAATTTCTAAATAATTCTTATTATTTAAATTTAACAAATATGATCAGTTTAGATTAAAGTTACATAGCTGTCAAAGTTTGAAATATGAAAAAAATAGGAGGTTTCCTTGTTGCTTGGCCACAAGACTTCAAAATAACTTCAGATCAACAAATTTGATTTAGAGTCCTTTTAACTCTTTCAGTCCTAATGGGCACATACGTCCCAGAGATTAGATTTCATGGCCTATTGATTAACTTTTAAATGGGTTTTTATGTTTGCAGTGTTTTTAAGGAATTTGAGAACAAATATATGACTAACAAAACCTGGCAACACTTTTAAATTGCAAATGGTGCACGTATGTTTTTGAGCACGCCGGTCACTTAAATTTCAATTTGTCTATTTTTTTAATTTTACAATAAATACAATTATATCTAAGGCATGCTTAGTATGAAATAGTTCTTATTGTTCTTATTAAGTAGTAATTTAACTTTTTTAATGTCAGATTTAAGAAATTTTTAATAAATTATTTTTTTGTGCGGTATATTGTCCCAGTCGTATTGAACAGTGGGTTAATATATCCCCCATCAGTGATCAAATTACTGCATACTGATACATTATGTTTATGAAACATATATGAAAAGTTTTGTTGTATATGAACATGTGGCAGAGTTTACATTTACAGTAATATTCACATTATATATTACCACAAATTTTAATTTTACTTTCTGAGAAAGGGTTCTCAACCTTTCGACTAATGCATACCACCTAAACAAAAATTTAAAACCTTTAGTACCACCACTACAAAGTACTACTACCACAAAGCTCAGATTGCATAAATTTACGAGTGTTAGTGAAAAAACTCAATCACGATGTTGGGGGTTTAATTTTCGAATTTAATAGTTAAAAATACTTTGTTTCTTTGCTTACCACCTATTTTTCTCTTGCGTACCACCGGTTGAGAACCCTTGTCCTAGGCAATTGGGACAAATAGTCCCAGTTGACATTACAATTGGGACATATTGTCCCAGGAGATTTCCAGGAAACGGAAGAAGTTAAAAATGTTAAACTCGTATTACACTTCTTTTAGTATGTCAACATTAAATTAAACTACTTTTCATAGTTAAATTTTAATCATGCAAAAGTTGGGTCAAAAGGGTTAAAAATCATCACTCACATTATTAACTTCATTACATTAAACAATTCTGAGCCATTCACATTAAACAATTCTAAGCCAAAAATATGATAAATTAATTAACTATTCTAAATTTTAATTTTACTCTATTCTGATTCATTTATTTTGTTATGTTCATTCAATATTGTAATTTTCCTAAAATTTTGTACTAATGAAAATCCAAGAACAAAATAAAACCTCTTAATTGCTTTAAAAAATTTTGAAAATAAAATAATTAATTAATGTTCACATACTCATGTTGATGAACTTATTAGAAGAACTATTAAATATAAAAGAACTGTTTACAGTTTTTAATTTTAAAATCATTACTTTCTGATTATCCTTCACCATTTTAATATGTTGTAAAACTGTTATGTTTTGTGGCATATTCCCAAGTATAAATGCAAAAGTATCCAACTCATGCATGCACATACCACACATGTTTGACAGCGGATGAATTTATAAGCTTTATATTTAATCATCATTTAGCTGAACAGTATTGGCTGTAAAAATCTAAATATCGGGTACATAGGTTTTTTTTTTTTTTTTTTTTTTTTTTTTTTCTTCAAAATTTCCTGTTTTTATGAAATGCTTCTTTAGTTATTCTTGGCACTTTCTTATTAAAATGGGCACTTGAACCAGTCACCAAAATCAGAAGACTAGTCACCAGGCTTGGCAAATATAATCCCTAGATTTTAACCCACAATGGATTTAATTTCAGATTGTTTTGATTATGATATTGTTTGGTGTGATATAACTATTTCGGTATTTCTTTTTTCTTTGTAAACCATGTGATATCATTCTTTCATTAATTATTTTCCCTCTAAAATGTTGATAATTTTTAATTTTCAATTAATATGAACATAATCATTAGTTTCTTTAGGATATCCTTCATTCTTTTGCTTTCTTCTTTTTCCTATAAAATTTTAATTATATTTAACTTACCGTCAACAGAAAAAGAAGCAATGGTTCCCCCCCCAAAAAAAAAATTGTGCATACTGAATGAAAGTATAAAAATAACCAACAAATGAAATTATTTACAGGAAAGCAAAGTCTTTGGAGATGCAATGTAAATAGCTGAAGGGACAAAGAAAGGTCTTAATGCTGATTATTGATTTCATATTTCCAGAATTCCTTAGCTTCATATATTATTGGGTTGAAGAACTAATTACGATCAGAAGGTGCAACAGTTAAATATGAGTGAAAACACAGTAATTGATTGGAACAACTATATAAGAGAAGTTTATTGATTGTTTTTTATCAAACACTCGAAAAATAAAATTGGTAGATCTGGAAAATTTGTTGGGACTGACCAAGACTATTTCTCAAGCAAAAAGACAATATAGACAGAATTTTACCAAAACGGTGTGGTTTTGGAAGACTCTGAAAGGAAACTAACAAATGTTTCCTGATACAAATAACCAGATAGAGGCAATTATACTCTAACAGAAATGATAAAATAATGTGTACGTGAAAGAAGTATGATGTATTTGGATTGCTGGTCTGCTCACCACAACAAAGAATTAGAAAAGGCCAATTAATCATAAATACAACTTTGATCTAACATCTGGCACAAATATCAAAAAAAATAAAACGAATCTGAAGTGCAACTAAATGGCAAAATGAAAAGGAATTGCTTGCTAGCACTTGGATTCATATTTAAGAGAATTTATGTGGCTGCAGTATGTAGGATAAGAAAATATATTTGATTCTATTACAGCAGCAATTGCCAAATTATGGTCTTCATAAAGGTAAATAAATGCCATTTCTGCAAAGGCAAGTACAGTATAGTGTCTGAGGTCTGGAATCTTTGACATTTCAAGGATTCCAGACTTTAGACTATTAAAATGACATATAGAAATTATAAAATTAAAAATATGAAATAGTTATTTATGTAATAATGAAACATTTATGACTTTAAGGAAACCAAAATACACAAAAAAGGCTTAATATTTACTTTTTTTGTTTTATTAAACATTTCTATATAAGTATGCTAGTACTTTCTTTTTAATTTTATAGAACTAATTTCTTGTTCAGTTATAAAATTCCATCATTCAAGGTCCTTTATTTACTGTTGAGAATTTCCACTAAACTGTCAATTGTTCATTCCCGCTATCCCTACTTCAGCTAATAAGTTACAAGAATCGAGATATTATTAGAGTGAGTGAAGGTCAAGCTGTTTTCATTAGCTACCAAATATAAACATACTGTGAAAATCTACAGCATTTGGCACATTCCTTTCACAAGAGATACTTTAGCTGAAAGGAAAAATTGCTACATTTCTCTTCAAATAATGAGATAAGCTTTAAGTTTTTCTATACATTTTAAGATTTCAGACAGTGTTTAATATTTACAGATTGTTTCTGAATTTAGAAAATTGTTATATAATAAGTATTTCTGAAGGAAAAGATGTTTTATTACAAGTAACAGAATAAAAACAGGTATGATAATTCTTATGATGCTTTATAAGTGTCAGTATAACCAACATGAGAACTCATTCGATAAATCCACAATGCATAAGGTAAATAATTTCAATTCAGAGCTAAATAAATGAGAAACAGCTTCAGTTTAATCTTGAAATGCACTTTAACATCGTCCAGTACGCTAATGGAAATTAATATCAACATTCATTACGAAAAAACCCCAGTCAGACATGAATAGATTTCTAAAAACTATAAGTGTTATTAATTTTTAGTTAGTCAATAATTACATTATGGAATCTTACTTCATGGGGTCATTCCACATTAGTTCCCATGCTAAAGGGCTATCTGTTTCAGGATTTGGCAATGGTTTGGGTATCTCATTAATAGCATCCAACCTACCATTACCAATCCATGGTGGTGGAATGCCGCCATGTACACAAAATACCTAAAATATTAATAAAGAAAATATTTATATTAATATCCAAGGAGACTGGAAATGAAGGGCATACCAAAAAAAATTTACATGATTACTAGGTGATAGCACTTGCTTTATTTCTTTTCATTATTTTTCCTCCTTTTATTAGAAACAGCATCATAGTTATTAATTAGTATATTTTTGAAATTTCATTAATTTGCCTTTCCGTTTGTGAGACTTGTCAATCTCTTAGTTGAACCTAAAAAAGTTATCATGCTTCAATAGCTGAAAGCATTTCTGCTTAAATTCTTCCACAGATTAAAAAAGAGGAAAGGATTATTGCATTTTTTTATATTCTATTTAAGAAGAATATTTTATATATATATATATATATATATATTATTATGAATTGAAATACCTTCTGCAGCCCTTTTTCCATATTTAAATAATCAGAATTTAAGCATAATAATTAAATTTACAAGCTAGTGCACAATCTGAAATTTAGATTTTTAAAGAGCATAATATTTTCATCATATCTACAAAATCTTTTCCCCCCTCACTACTATTTATTACTATTTTAGTTTCTTTCCATTAAATAAATACACCCAGATACAGTTACTTCTTACCCTGATATAGCATCTTTTCCACCATTCAAATATAATAATAACAATAAATAAAAGAAAAATGCATGGTATATTTTGTCTTAAATGCTATAATAAATGTTTTAATATGTTTATTTCCAAATTGAAGCCAAATACTTTTAAGAAAAACACAATTATGTGCTATTTGGATATGAAAAATATATTTTTATAATATATAGAGCAGACATGGCCAAACCGCTGCTCGTGAGCTACTTGTGATCCTTTACCATTTGAAATGCCATTTGTTTTGATTAAATATAGCTTACTTTTTTAATACAAATGGAATTTGAAATAGAAATCATGCAGTGCCACGTTTCTTAGTTCTTCCATGTTGCTTTTTGAACAGGTAATGGTCATCAGAATACACCAAGTTAATCTAAAACGCAATGCTAATTATATTATTTAATTATTTAATATTTTTCCTCTCAAATTAATTTTACTTTAGGCAAGTATCAGCTTACATTTTTGTGTGATCCCACTGTTCACAACAGTTGTGATCCATCTGGAAGATTTGCTATTTGTTTACTTTTATTCAGTCCTTGAATGGCGTGAGTAAGAGCTCAAGAAACTTGTTTCACTTTGCAATCCTTATAGAACTCTTTTTTAATGTGTGGAAGAATTTTACGAGGATTTTAATTTTGGTGGAGTCTCCACTTTCTCTGGAACTCCTTCAAAATTAATTTCCTATCCCTAAGCAATTCAGGCATTTTTATGCAATTGCTTCACAGATTTTGCACCCATTCACAATAATATGCTTAATGAACACTTTTCCCGCATGAAACTCTCTCTTTCGTAATAATTCTTTGGTAATTATGGGTAGAGATTCACCAATGGTTGTGCATGCTGAAATAAATTATAAAATGCCTGCAGTAGTCATGGGAAGAATCAATGGTTTGACAACAATTTAAATTTCAGTCAAAATGTTTAATTCCCATTTTATCAAATATTGTTATTCCAGATACAGGTCTTTGACTTTAATCATTGGATCTTCATATCAATAACGTTGTATCAAGTAATGAGGGATCAGCAGAACACAAACATCTCTCTTCTCCAAAGTTCCTATCAAAATCGGCATATTGATATTGGGGAAATCTCTTTAGCTTGTGATATTTTCATGATTTCTTGTTTAATGACTTTTTTCTTTATACCTCACAATAGGTTAGAGGCATTTTAGCCCGGCATATCTAAAATTGTTCACCCCTTAGTGCTGCCGCTCTGCAACTGCAACAGTTGTCCCGGCTCTGATGCCAGCATTATGCTTCTTTTAATCTGTTGATATTTTTTGTCTTCCTAATTTTTGATCATCATATATGCCTGATACATCCTTCATGAAAGTTTAGTAGCCAAACAAAAATTTGTACAATGATCCACTGCTTGATTACTACACATTTCAGACAATAATGTGAAATTATGCTCCAGTAAATGCTTATTTTTAAAGTTTCATTGAGATTTTCAGTACACAGATTAGGTAACCCAGTGGAAAGCTATACTATGTAAAGGATAGGCTGACAATAATTTATTTTAAACTTTTTTTGGATGTATTAGAAATTCAAGATGAGACAGTAAGTCATTTGACTGCCTTTATGGGTCCAACAGTTAGAATATGGTGGACCGATACACCCATTTGGCAAGAGCTTAAGAACTAAACTATTGTACAGATGTCTGCCCTGTTACAAAAGGCTTCCACATCAAACATCTCCATATCCATAGAAATATGAAGAGTTACACGTTCACATTATATCTGCATTTGTGAAATAAATTCATTACAGTAGTGACAGGTATGTTTTTGTTCTGTAACATTAAATTTGATTTACCATGTATTTGAAAAACAGCTCAAAATTAAACACCTAGGTTGAAGAATTCAGCTGGTAGACAGATAGAATACATGCTCAACAAAGCGCTTATGTAGCCTGGCATGAACTACTAGATTTAATAGCAATAGGCTATGTATGTCCAGAGTTATTGTAATGATTCAAGAGATGGTTTCGAGAATTTTCAATGATGTGCATGAACTTTGATATCTTGTGGAGTCATTACAATTTTTGATGTGGAAGACATAAAATTAGCTATGCCCTCTCCGGGACTTGAACTGGACCTTTCTAATACACAACAAATATGCTACCACTACAATACGTTACTATTTACTACTATTACTAGGTTATTTTTGTTAAAAATACACTTTATCTTATTTTTGTGATGCTGTATCTGCCAAAGCAATGCTATAATTATACACTCTATGTTCCTTAATATTCATATGTAGCCCCTTTTTGTTTTTTGCTGAATGGAAACGGTTTTAATTAGTCAAGTAAATAAACATGTAACGTGCATTTGTGGTTTGCTCATTTCTTTCCACTATATTTCAAAATATATCTGCCATTTAAGTAATTTCTATTATGTTATCAGCATGACATGCTCTAAAGAAATTTTGATTTTTCTGAAAGAAAAAGCAGCAACATCCATAGCACCGGCGAAGCTAAGCCTAACATGCTGAAAATGATCCGATGGAAGAAATTAAGATTCAGAAACTCGACGAAGATAATTACAATGCTTGGAAAATCTGAGCACAAGCTGTTTTAATTCAAAAAAATTGTTAGGTAGCGATTGATCCAGGTTACGGTGCTGAATTAAAGAATGATGAAAAGAAAATTAATGAGAAAGCCTTAACATTCCTATTCTTAGTGGTTAAGACCAGTTCTTAGATGACATCGTTGACTATGAAAGAGTGAAAGAAGCGTGGGATACTTTAAAAGACATCCATATGAAATTCGGACTCTTGCATTCTCTATGACTTTTAAAGGAATTTTTTAATGTGACTTTAAAAACAGGAGAAAGCATCAGTTCTTATCTAAGTCAATTGATGGACCTTCACCGAAAGGTATCGTCTTGTGAACATGGACTTGTGAACAGAGAAGTTGCCCTCATTATGTTAATGGGTTTGCCCAAGGAATATGAACGCCTTATCCTCAATTTAGAACGTGAAGAAGATACTTTGTCAACTCAAATCGTAAAATCGCATCTCATGGTTGAAGAGAGAAAGTTACTGTGCTACACATAAGTGAAAACAGAAGTTGCTACCAGTGAGGTCATGGGAGACAAAGCCCTCGAAACTTGAGATAAGTACAGAACTAAAACTATGCAGCCATTACAGAAACAGCATAAAAATATTGACAGAAAAACCCATTGCTTTTTTGTGGGGAGTAGGGTGATATTGCCAAAAATTGCTCTGCTGCTAAAACCCCAATGCAAAAATGGTTTCTAATGAAGTATATCAAGTACTGTTTGTTGATTCTTGTGGTGGGAAACCTGTCTGTGATTGGTACCTCAATAGCAGAGCCAATAAACATATATGTTCTCAAGAGCAGAAACTTACGAATTTAGCTTCAGCAAAATCACAAGTTGAGATAGCCAATTCTGAAAAAAACTGAAGTTTCTGGCATGGGGGACATTGTTTTGAATCCTGTCAGAGAATGTGGGAAAGATGCTATTCATCTAGCAAATGTTCTGTATGTCCTTAAGCTTGATGGTAGCCTTCTTTCAATAGGAAGAATAGAAGAAATGGGAATGACTGTTTCCTTTGAGAGGGGCAAAGCAATAATAAAAGATTCAAGACAACAAGATAAGGTCATCCTCACTGCACATAGGTGTGGAAGATTATATCAAATTGAAGAGAAGCTTAATGCATAAAATATACATTTCTTTCCAAATGTGAAGAAATTATGCATCGAAGATTAGGGCATTTCCACCATGATGCAGTTAAGAAACTTATGAAAAGGGATGTTCAAATATGACGTGTGAAGAAATCCAAGAAAAGGAGACAAAAATTATCGGGAACCATTTGAGAGATTGTTTTGAGAATTTTCAATGATGTGCAGTGTACTGATTACTAAAAACTTCTGAGATTCCGTTGGATACCATGCTGAAATACTATATCACTCAGGACTGTCAGGAGAGATACTGATTATTCAAATACCACTGAAATTGCAATCATATTCCCCCCTTCTTTTTTGTGTGTGTAAATTCTTCCATACTGGGCATCAGTAAAAGTAATTATTCCAAAGTTTTAGGAAAAAATCTGATGTGTACACCACGACTTCCTTGCACGGATTATTACATTATACGCATTTTTTCTTGCATTTCATTTAAACTTATTGGATTGAATTAAATCTACATCATCGATAATGCATAAACCACAATAGAATACATGCACTTTTTAAAATTCACTATATTTGTTTACCATAGCGACACTCTGGCACTAGGTTCACTTAACAGCATTACATTTTGTCTATATTACAACTCAGAATGCATATAAATTTATATCATTTGAAGAATTATCTAATCTTTGCCACATGTTCTATTCAAATATTATAATAAATCTAAAACAATGTATAAAAGAAATTAAGCAAACAAAACAAAAAAGAAACAGTTTTTCACACACGATGTAGTATTTCTCATTTAATTAATTCAAGACTTTCCAACAAGGCAAAAATACATAAAAGCTCAAAATATCTATATTAAAAATTACGAAGTATATCTGAAACACTTATTTCCTTGAATAAATTCCATAATGGATTATGCATGATTTAATTTGCAATAATAAAAGAAGGCGTTATCTTTGTCTTTGCAAAACTTAGTTTCTCTGGATTGGCAACAAATCCGCTATTTTGCCAAGTTTGAAATGTAAACAATCATGTCCGCCATTGCAAAATTTAGTAGGCTTAGCTGCACTGTAAACAACTTTTAAATTGTTGATAACTCCACAAATATTGCATTCAGATTACTAAATGCATAAAAACCTTAACCGGAAGATAAGAACAACATAATTTAATCATTTTTAAAGCAAAAAATGCACAATTTACAAACTTATAAGATTAAAGAAACTGAGCTACTGAGCCGAATAACAGAGTGGATATATATATGCATATATTTATATACTTTTGGTGTGGCGGATTGCAACCAAAATACGAGGTGCACATCTACATGTTATAGCAGTTCTATATACAAAATTTCAACGTTCTGAAGCTACTCGTTTTTTAGTTATGTGAGATACGTATGTACATACGTACGCACAGATGCCACGAAAAATTCTCTTCAGAATTCATTTTAAATGTTTTATAATTTTTTTTAAGGAAAAGAGTCCTTTATTCTGTTCTTACTTGCAGATGTCATGCAAAAACATCATTAAATTGCATTAGATAGCGGTCAAAATCGATATTTTCGTTGAAATATGATATCCGAAAATTTTTGTGATTACAATACTTCCTTTTTACTTCGTACAAGGAAGTAAAAAATGTTTAAAGATTTCTTAGGTTAAGATTTAAAGATTCAAATGATCTCAGTATAATGGACTTTATATTAAATGTGTGGAGAAACAAAGCAACTTTTTCGGCAAATCCTAAACAAGTTAATAGCTTATTTTTAAATAAATATATTTCCCAGAATGACAGTTTCTCTGCAATGCATGTTGACGTGTATCACATAATTCATCTTTCTAAATGACTGCTTATGAGTTAAAAAAAAAACACTCAATTTCTTTTTAAATAATGATTTGTAATTTACTCAAAGTTTCCCAGTACAAAAGTTACAAATTTTTATTTTCTTGGAATTTTCTAAACACAAAACAGCAGATATAAAATATATTTATATCTAATTATGTGTTAATTATATATTCATTAGAACATGATATTTAATAAATAAAGGTAACACACAAGACGTTAAAAAAATGCCCGTTTGGATGTAATTTAAAATCTGAAAGCTTTTTTTTTTTTTTTTTTTTTTTGTAGTTGTTGTAGTATTTTTATTTTGCACATTAAATGTTTTTCAGTATTTAGTTCCCATTTAGTGACTTTGACATTAAACAATTGACAACAAAAATTTTACTTAAAATTCATTTTTAGTATGATAAATTTCAAAGCAGAGATCTACACATAGTCCTGTGTTACAATCCTTGTATTGATAATAGCTCATTTTCCATTTTGGAGCCTTTTTGCCAGAGTTTGGGAAAAAAAAAAAATCATTGCCATTGCACTTTCTTAGAACTTTCGTTCGAGTAAAGTGTACTTCCCATCAATCCTTCAAAGCAGTGAAATTTAGGTTCCCCCCCCCCCCCCCCCGCAAAACCAACATCTCACCAATTTTCCTTTTGGGTGGCAGAATCATTTCTTTCCTTCTCCTAATTACAGTTCCACAAGTATTTGTTCCAAGTCTAAAGTGTTCATCCACAATGATGGAGACATGAAAAATCAATAAATACATATATATAAATGGTACCCCTGACAAGAATGTTCTTCAAGAGAGATTTAACAAGTCTTTCCCCATATGAACCTGAAGTTTCTTTTCCTACATAAATGACATAACCTGATTTAGATTCATATAATTCATTAAAAAATTTCTATGCTTTGACAATAATGCTCAAAACAGAAACATTTCACATACACATGGTATAATTTTCGATTAGAAACTGAACTGCAAACCTAAAACACCCAATGCTCTGGGAGGGGAGGGGAGGGGAACTCCTATGACATTCATCAATAAATATCATATGCACATATAAAAAGATATCAGGAAGTCTACAAGTGGAAAACGTGCCTTTCGCCTTATGCTTATATAATCAAAATCCAACTGCATGGGAGTTATCTTTGTCTCATTTAAAGTAAAAGATGCATGTAAAAGACCAAATCTACTTGTATCTCAAATCCTAAAGACATTTAACACCATCTTATGGCAAAAATATTAGTTTCTGAAATGTTCCAAAAGTCTGACATGAATGTGATGAATGTGGAATAACAACGTGATGAATGTGGGTGAATGAGAAAATGACAATTCACGCTGGCATGCTACCTGAGAAATGAGTAAGTTTCATGTTGGCATTTATCTGCATGATAGGCATGGGTTAATGGTATGAAAACCCTGCATGTATGTACTTTAAAATTTTTTTATTATTATATTTATCAATAAATGACTTAATTAACCATTTTCCTGTAAAAAAAGAAACTTTCCAAAGAGAATACTATGAAATTATGTCTGATTTATTATTCCATGCTTAACTTTTAGGTGAACAATGTATTTGCCCACTTGAAGCAAATGTTACTCAAAAATACACAGCATAATAAAATATGCATGTTTCTTTTATATTGTTATTGTTTAAGATTTAAAAAGGGGCTTTATTTTATACAATTAAAATGTTCTTTTCACTATAAGGCTTACAACATTTATTTACATTTTTGGTGAGTTTACATACCTTGCCATCGATAACTGCAGCCAAAGGCATAACGTCAAAGCAATCATTGATAGCATTCCAGACTTCTAATCCATGTTCATACCCAAATTTTTTCAAACACTCTCTAAAACCAGAAAGGTTAAATATCTGAAAACTGCAATATGTAGTGCTATTCAGTACAAAAGGCAACTTTACTTTTTTAAATTTTATATGTAAATAGGTTAAATTAAATTTGAAAACATACTCTTGATTCATGCAAACTATGCTCACTTTGCAAAACAGTAGAGTTTTCATTGATTCGTGTATTCCATCAACCAAAATTCAAATGAATGGCTTTTTTTATTTTCACTTCCATTTATTGTGGTTTTAAACAGGATAGTTGTACTTTTTTAGAATAGACATCTCAGAAATTGAAAGTTGTTCTCCATTACAGATTACAGTATGACTTTGCAATGATTTCAGTGGCTTCTTTGATTTGAAGACCATTTTTTTGGCTTGGTTTTATAGATATTTATGGCATTATCCCATTCTCTAAATAAGTGCAGATGCTCTTTAATATATTTCGAAAATTATGTATAATTTTTATCGGTGCATTTATTATTATTAAAGATTTCATATCTATTCTTTCTGCTGCTTATTTCTGGAATGCTGAATCATCATATAGGATATTAATTTTTATTTCTATCACAGATGGCTCTACCATAGACGGTGTAAACATACCTGACATATTTATTTTGTTAACATTACATCTATTCCTTCCAGTTAATTTCTAGACACATGGTGATCAAATCATTACACATTTACATGCATATGTTTTTAAATATTGAAATGATACAAGATGTGTTAGGATGACATAATTATATACTAATAAATTTACCTTTATCTCATTAATGAATCGGCATTAATTTTTCTGTAGGCGAATTACTTCCAATAACAAATCTATTGATATTACTGTTGAGTTTTCCACAAATTCTAGAATGGTTTATTATTTCTTGCAATCTTAGGAATGTAGCTGAATTCATTTTAAACACAATCTAGCAGTCTATCCATTTGAAATTCCTTAAAAGCAACAAATCTAATGTTACATATACCATTCTCATCCACGAAGAGACTATTGAAAACTGCATTGGTTTTATATACAAGGTGTCCCGTAAATGTTGTGACAAACTTTTGGGGGAGGTAAGGCACATCATAAAGATTATGACTTGCATAGGAACCCATTGCCCAGAAACATCATTGTATGCTGCCAGGGGTGCTGCACAGGAGAGTGCTAGTTAAAAGTGAGGATTGCCTCATTTGGAGAGGTAGGTACTATACGAAGAGCATAGAACTCTATATGAAGCAGGAGCTTGCAGACATGCACTTAGTGTGTGGAATAGCTGAGGGTAATGGACGAACCACTGCACACATTTATCCAGAATGCCTCTCCGACATAAACCATACCACAGTTTGTTTGCATGTCTGCATCGAAATTTGTGCTACTGCAGGTGATTAAGAAGTGGACTCATTTTGGATTGGATGTTCGTAGCCATTTGAACAAATCATTCTTGCATCGATGGATTGAGCATGGTGGACCAGTTCCCTGGACCCCACGCTCACTGGATTTATCAAGCCTTGATTTCTTTTTGTGGGAAGCCATCAAAAGTGTCATGTATCAGATCCTGTTGTGTCTGAAATGGATTTCAAGGCAAGACGTGCCTGCACAGCTGCTACAAACAAAGAAACTCCCAGTGTGCTTGAATATGTCCGGCAATAAATGGTCTGTTGGTGTCAGGAATGTTTGGCGTCTGATGGTGCAAACTTCAAGCACCTGTTGTAATATTCAAGCTGTCGTACACCATTTGTATTCATCTCCAATAAATGCTTCAAATTAATTACTCTTGTTTCTTTTCCCATCTATCTCAAGAACACAGTTCCGAATATTGTAATACTACTGCACATTTGTCCCAGGATTGCTATAAGTATTATATGTTATGAGAAAAATTTTGTAAATGCAAATGTATTAAAATGGGCCAAGATCTAAAAAGGAGTATGTTGCATTTAAGAAATTTTAATATACTTTCACAACATGGTAAATGAAGTAAAAAAACTTCTAGAATGTCATCAACAATTTGGCTAACAAAGGGGGGGGGAAAGAAAAATAGCATTTTAATTATAGCACTGGAATTACAGTTTTATTCCAAAATAGATGCAAAGCTTTTTTTTATCTATATGTTGTTTTGACACATAGATAAATAAAAGTATATATATAAAAATATAGACTAAAAATATATAAAATTGTAAAAAAAATACAGATTTGACATATAAATAAAAAATTCTCTTCTCTACATGTTATCTTATCTTGACATTTTATAGATTTTGTGTGTGTGTGTGTGCATGTGTGCACTGAAAGGAGCAGAAAAAAAGGCTATGGCTATATCCTTGAGGTTATAAAAAAAATTTCCTTTCTATCCTCCATATATCTAGATGTCTATTCTAAAAGTATGGCAACCTTCAGTGAAACCATAAAAAGTACAGCAATGTTACATGAAACCACAATAAGAGGAAGTGAATAAGAGAAAGTCATTCATTTGGACTTCAACTGATGAAACTGATAGGTTATCTGCAAAAGTTATTTAATGTAAACACAAAATAATTTAGTATATGCACAATTTATTTATCATTTTAACATTGTGTGCTTTTAATATTGAAGTTAAAATAAAAAAAGTATATAAGTATATCTTCTGAATGTATTTATAAAACCAAATTATATATATATATATATAAACCTTAAATTTCTCGAAAAGCAAATACAGTCAAAAGTCGTTAATCCGGACTCGTCGGGACTTCGGCGATTCCGGATTATCGATTTTTCCGGATTACAGATCATCAGTTTAAATCTGGTAGGATGGCATGCAGAAATTACAAAATTAAAAATATGAAAATGTAATTTATGAAATAAAGAACAATTATGATCTAAAGGGTATCAAAATTTACAAAAAGAAAAAGCTTAATATTTATTTGTTTACTTTATTAAACATTTCTTTCAATGTAAGTTGTTTAAGTTGCTTCGTTTCATGTGATAATACTTTCTCTTTAATTCTATTAAACAGACATTTCTTGTTTAGTTAAAAAGTTCTGCTGTTCAAGTCCTATAATTGCTGTGTCGAAAATACCGACTAATTTGCCAATCGAAATTTTTTCATTTTCAATAACCTCTGTCACTTTCTTCACTATCGGAAGCGAATTATAATGACGAGGAACTTGTTTTAAATCATATCAAAGACGGAGTACATCGAGATGAAATACTACATTTAGTAAGGAATTATAAGCCAAATAAAATAAAAACATCTGCCCTGAAGATAAGGATAGTGCTGATTATCCAACTAATTGCGTGCCGCGGCGTTCCCCCCGCTGAGCAGCGTGAAAATGATAAACAGATTTCGGATTTCGAAACATACTTTCGCTTTAGATCCTTTACATATGAGCAAATATATATCGGAAATTCTATTTGATATAATCGAAAGTTCAAGCTTAGTTTTATAAAATTGCTCTAACAGTCTGCAAAAAATAATAAGCCGGATCCAATTCGAAGATTAAGGAACAACGCAATCTGCAACATTAACTGAATTAGATAATTTTAGCTTAGTTTATACCGTCCGTTATACATTAAACGTACACACGTAAACGTTTTATGCGCATGCGCACATGCATATTTGCAGCTGTAAAGGTCTTACGCGCACACGTAAACGCATGCGCAGAAAGTTTGTAGTTTTGAGGTCCGGATTATAGATCATTCCGGATTATGGGTGTCCGAATTAATGACTTTTGACTGTAGTAACAAATTATGCAGCAGTTATAGAAGAGGCATCCAGAAAGTAAGCTTCCTCATGTCCATAAATGAAAAACTATGGTAGAAGAGTAGTGCTCATGGATAAGAAGTCTTGATATGGTAATTATGTGTACTAGAAGACATTTTCTGACTGCTCACAGTATAATTGCTGCAGTGGTTGAAGATGACATCTCTTATTCCATCCTCTGGTGGCTGTGAGGTTTAATCTAAAACAAGTGTTTTTAATTTCCAAGCATAATAGCAATCAAAATTCATCATCATATCTCTCTGATATAGAGACCTGATATCATGAGCAAGTAGTAATGCACTCAATTTTCTGAAGATCAACAAAATATGGCTAATGAGGAGTGCAATGGGTGGCCACTGGTCATTATGTATGACCATGTAAAGTCAGTGCAGCAGTGTAATTTAAAGGATCATTGCTTCATGCTTATGAAATTCTACAGCCATTTCTCTCAAATTTCCTGCTCCTTCTTATAAAAAACTACTATGAAGTACTCGTTTTTCCAAAAAGTGCAAGGAATATGGGTGCCAAAAAGATAACATTCACGCAAAAAGAAAAGGGCATGGGTCCAACTTTATGTTTCTGTGGCAGTACCAACAAATTTCCATGCATGAAACATCACTGGCAATGAAATGTAGGTTGTATACTTTACCTCAAAAAAGAAGCAGCAAGTGCACTCTGGAAGTCAAAAAGCATTCTGTTCATTGAGTTCTTAATTCGAAGTGAGAGAATAAATGTTGACTATTGTTATAAAACTTCAATGGGCTATTCAAAAACAAAGCAACATGGTATGCTTGAAACCAGCACTGTCTTAAATTGCACAACAGATCTTCTGAAGGAGTTTTTCTGGAATGAACATCTAACATATAATTTCACAATGATTTACATCTTTTCATACACTTAAAGAAATTTCTGCTCAATCAGTATTTTTTAAAATGACACTGACGGCAGTCATACACTGGCTCTGATGCCATGTAACAGAATTCTACAATACAGAAATCCAAAAGTTAACCACACTGTATGATAAATGTCTCAATTTCCAATGGGGATCATGTTTAAAAGTAACTGAATAATTGCTATATTTATTTCTATAAATCTTTTCATGAAATATACTCACTCTTTGTAGATGGCATAGTGAAATTCACTTTCTGAATACCCATTATAATTATTATCACAGATTAGAGCAGGTATAACAAAAGTAAAAAGGTCCGACAACTTAAAATTCCAGATTGAAGTATGAAAAATATTATTAATGACAAAAAAAAAAAAAAAAAAAAAACTCACTTATGAAAAGTAAATGCCTCTTGAATAGCACGAACTTCATGATTTCCTCGTAAAAGGTAAAACTTTTCAGGTGCTAATATTTTTTGACAGAAAAGATATGCAACAACCTTCGAAATATAAAAAAGCAAGAACTATAAATATATGAAGTATTAAAACTAAATTTGTAATTAAACCAAAAATACACAATTTACAAATTTGCTAACTCAAACTAATAATGACTAATACTAACTGCTTTATAGAAAATTATTTAAAATATTTCTTTTGATTAATTAATTTCTTTCTATTCTATAAAAATTCCAAAAAATTTTCATTAAAATAATAAAGTATTTTTGGTCATTTTCATGCATGTTGTTAAAAAGGTGTAATATTGCTTTAGAAATAAACTTTTAATTCATGTAAAGTAATATTAGATGACAATTTTTGATTTTATCAAAACAAAAATTTGAAAACCAATTTTCATATAACATATTCATATAACATATTATCAAAAATATTTATCCAAAGAAACTGAACCACATTTGAATTTCTGGTTTCTTTTCACAACTCAACTGAGTGACACATAAAAACAGAGAAACAGATGTATTAATTGGTAATAATGAATGATTCATAATGAAATGGATGTAGGAGTAGAAAATGAATTAAGTAATGCATTCTATTACCAGAACAGGTACATTAAATCAAAATTCCCTGTGAAGTTAAGACTACAGGAAAGAAATCAAGATTCCCCGTAAAGATTTTTGAAATAATAAAAGTTTCTCACAATCAGAATAATAAAGTATTTAATTTAGACACTACTTTATGTGTGTATGTAAAAAAATTAAAAGTCCAGAGACCAGTACTTAAACAATATACATATCTAACCAATCACTGTGATTCTCAGAATAGACCCATTAAATTATAATTGCTAGTAGTTGTAGAAAAGAAGACTGCTTGTAAAGATATCTGAAATAAATTTATAAAAGTTTCTCTCAGTCAGAATAATCAAATATTTAACATAGATAGTGCCTATATTTATGTATATGGAAAGATTCAGAATCATGAAATAGGTGCATAAGACAATTCCGTGTCTAGCAGACTACTGTAATTCCTCAGTTTAGTTATACACTAATCTTCTCTTGCTAATTCATAGTTTCATTCAAATACATTATGCAATCTTTTCAAACCATTTGAGTACCCTTAAGCTACTTAATTGATTTACTTGATTTTGGAGTATGCCAGATCTATATGCATAAGAGAAGGGATGCCTTTGCAGACTCTCTAATGAAAATTCACTCAAATCCATATTACACATAGGAAAAACCATGAAAATGTTCATGCAGCCAAGGCATTAGTCTGGAATCGAACACAGGTCAAATTAACAGCATTCAGCGACCTGTCAGCCACTGGTGGGCCTTGAGTATTCTAAACAGTATTTTGTGGGATAAGCATAAAAACTGGCATTTGTTAAGCAGTATATAAGTGTTAAGTTTTGCAATTGCTCTGGCAAATGTCCAGCGGATACTGTGAAAAGCTGAAGCAGATTTCTGCTGATTACGCACTTCCATTTGAAAGTCTGAATGGAATAAGCAGTTCTGGTATAGCAGTGAAGAAAAATAAATATGAATAATTCAAGAGATGCAAGAATGCTGTTTGGCTAATTTTATACTACTGGCCATTAAAGCTGCTACACCAGGAAAGTTCCATGCCACACACATGAAATTTTCAAGACAGATAAAACATGATGTGATGTGTAAATGATTAGATTTTCAGCACATTCAAGCAAAACAGGCAGCGGCAGCAACACATGTCATTAGTCAAGATCCCATGACTGTAGAATGACTGTGGAATTGATGTGTTCAAGACAGTCATATGGAATATAGTGTAGGATCTCAGTGCCCCCCATCATTAATATCATACTTATGTGCATATATAGACAACTTATGTGCATGCCATTACGGCTCGTACAGCTGCATAACGAACCCCAAGTCCAGAAATGGAGTCGTTTGCAAGACAACAAGTTTCTGCTCAAACAGTTCAATGACATTTGCAGCAGCATGGGCTGTCAACACTGAAACCATGGCTCAGGCTACTCTTGAAACTGAATAAAAGACAGAAGTGCCTTCAATGTCATGATCAAATACAAACTTGGACCCAGGAATGCTGTCACGTCATCTTTACAAATGAATCACAGTTCTGTTTATGGCATCATGATGTCCACCACTATGTTTAGCGGCATCATAGAGAATGCACATTGCCAGCTTGCACTAGACATCGTCATAGTGGCCCATCAGTTGGAGTGATAGGATGGGGTGTCATTGGACACATGTCTCGGTCATGATGGAAGCTATGAATGAAAGATTTTCTAACCATATTTTATTTAAGAAGCACGTCTTTCTGTTATTTTTTGTAGCAGAATATTTTAATAGAGGCAAGATAAATGAAATTAGTTCTTAGTCATCATAAAATATTACCTCAATACCATGTTGCCCTCGATCCACATAATCACCAAGGAAAAGAAAAGTTGCAGGAGTGAGGACAGGGCCCATACGCCATAAAGTTTTCTCAAAGCATACCAAATCTGAGAAGTTACCATGAATATCACCTGCCAAAATTTTGTTAGAGATAACATTAATTTTATGATATGATTTAAAAATATACATACAATAAAAATTAAAAAAGATTTATTAAATAAAAAGCAGGAAGATATAAGTTTTAAAATCTAAAAAAGTATAAAGTAAAACATTACATGTGAAAAGTTATCAATTTGAAATTATATTCTTTATATTTTCCAAGGTTTTAGCTTTTAACCTAATATTTAATTCTTATTTCATAATGCCACATGATTCAGACATGATGAAAGCTAAATAAAATGCACATGAATGTATCAACTTTAAAAGCTTGAAAAATTCATATTTAGTTATATATTGATTTTAAATAAGATTTAATGCACTTCAAGATATAACCGATAAGAGTTTCTTTTCATTGACAGAAAATATTTTAAACAGCCAATCAAATCCAAATGTTTTAAATAATGGGCATGCAACACTAAATACACAAAACTGATGGGGATCTTGGAAATATGATCACTTACCAAATGAATTCTACTGAATCAGGCATGTGGTAAGATAATACTTCCTTTTTTAACAATAAAACTTATTTAGAAGAGAAACATTGGTTTATTTACACATCAATGCAGATTCTTAAGAATTTTGGTTCCAAATACCCCTTACTCGAATGATAAGTAAACAATCGATTGCCAATCTTCTCTAGCTATGTATTGGTAAGAAAGAACATGTGGCTTATCAACAGCTAACATTTCTCCCATCTTATGTTAACTTATAATATGTAAGGCCACCCATCCACCCACTCTGCAACTCACACACACACACAAAGAAAACACCATCATTTCAAAGAAAATACATTTAAAGACCTGACACATGTTTGAGTTCAAGAAAATTGAGTTATAAATTTTCTACATTAAATTCTTTTCTTTGCATTTTATAAAATGTGTATTTACTTCTTTTTGTAAGAATAAAATATAGAAAATAAAACTATAAAACACATCTACATAAACACAAAAAAATTTGGCAATCTGTGGTTTTTGACAAAGTGCTTGTATGTTATTAGTATGTTTTTAAAACAAGAATTTCATTACTTAGTGACTAATTATGAATTATATAGAATTTTAAAACCATTCATATCAGGTAATCAATGTAAGTAAAAGGAAAGGGGAGAAAAGGGTAGTCTTAATGTAATTCTGCATTACAGATCTTTAGTACCGTACTTCCTGTTAAAAAATAAGGGCTCACATTGCACATATTATATATATTTATAATAACAATTTATCTTCAGCTTTGAGCTTCCATAAAGAAAATATTTGTTAAAGTTCTAAAAAAACCTGTGAATGCTATATTGATCAATAGCTCTATTGTTAACAAAGTCTGATAAAAATAATGGAAAAAATAGCTTAAAGTGAATCTATTGTGAATATGATACTAGGCAAAAGTTGAAAAGGACTAGCACTAGAAATGAAAACATGGGTAGCACTTGAAAGAACTGGGTAAGAATTTCAAATTGGATAACTACAAACAATAGATGGCACATGTGATGTCATTTTATATTATTTGCTAAAATATAGAAAATTAAAAAAAAAAAAAAAAACTGAGATATGAAAAACTACCTTCCAACACAGGAGCATGTCTGTTCTACATGCTCGTAAAAACAGCTAAAAAGTTGATAAAATTAAGAATTCATTTTGAATGATATTCAAATTTACAATTTTGACCTTTTTTCTATTTACTAAAAATTCCAAAAATATCACCAGTTTTCATTTGTTCTATTACTGTACTTAATTCCTTAGTGATCCCACAGGGGTAGTCCCCTTCCTTTTGGTGATTTCAGTCTTAATCTAGACAAGAACATCTATTTATCCTAAATTAATTTTTATTATAGAAAAACGCATTATTTTTTTTGACATAGTTATGAAATTAAAATGTACCAAGAGAAACAAAATGAACAAACAGTTTAGAAACTTTTGGCACAAATACTGGCACAAATCTGGATAAAGTCTACATTTCTGAAAAGTATGATATTTGGATGTAAAAACAAGTAGTATTAAAAAAAAATTAAGTCAATTCCTACTTAGATCAACAAAGAAAAATTTTATTTCAGTTACTTTTATTAACATTTTTTTGTTTCTAATTTATGAAGCTGATGGTGGTTTATAATTTCTCATTCTATCCATTTCTTGTAATGCTTCATTATTGCAAGGAACCTTTCCAGTGAGTTTTGAGCGGTCCAGTTCTTCAATTAATATTCCATCTAATGATTTCACATGACTCAAAGTGACATATGCTTGACCTGCTGCAAAGAGTTTTTGAAGGAATCTTTTCTTGGAGCTTACGTTTCCCCCCCCTTTTCCTCTAATCGTCGCTTGCGTTGTGTTGCAGTTTCTTTTCGCTTTCTTTTCACATTCTCCGTTTGTGAAGTAAGGGGCATTTTAAAGGGTTATATTTTAAACATATATTATTATCATGTTAACATAGAAATATGGGGAGAATTTTTGCTACATGATGGGACATTACAATTGCTTCATCCAACTCTATAATACTACAATTCTTTAATTACGTACACTTAAAAAATCTTTAGAACTCTGCCTTACTTTTGCACTTATTTTCGTTAAATATTATAATCCCATTTATCACAGTCATGTATTATTATAAGTTGTTATAAAATTAATTTTTATAGCACATGAGAATCCCTAATAAGCAGTCATTATTTCTTAGTTTCATAATATATTTAATAAAAGCAGCATATCTTTAGCTCCAATAAACAGGAATAAATAAATAGGAATTGACTTTAACATGTGAAAAAACTGTATTAACATCAAGTGTCATCCACTACAAGTTTAAAAAAATGTACTTGAACTTGAGTGGATGATAAAAAAGCATTTTATTAACAATCGAAAATGTGAAAGATATACAGAGTGGAGCTAATAGTAGGATTTTAATAATAATAATAATAACAAAATAAAAAGTTCTGATAAAGTCTATTATCAGTTTGGTTCTATGGCTTGAAAAAATTTCATTATTTAACTCAATCTGAGAAAAAAATTTTCTCCTTAATTTTGTGGGATGACATCGTTCATTATAATCGGATGACGCGACAAGCTGTGAAAATAAATCTTTTACCTTTTCCGATGATAGAAGGCAGACGATTCTGCCATTAAGACGATGACGCGACTGAAATATGTTTGCATCTAAAAAGACGATTCCTTCTCTTCATTTGTAAATAATCTCACCTATTCCCTTCTACGTATGTAATTACTTTGTAGTTTGTAGCAACTATTCATGTTTCATTAAATATTCAAGTTTTACATAAATCGGACTAGTTTATTAGCCCCTAGACAGCCACATCGGAAGTAAGTTTACAAACATCATATTCCTAGACAGTAAGTACCGATTCTACAGATTTGGGTGCTCAGGCCGCGATGAGCCTAGGAAGAAGCATTATGAATATTACAAAATAAGAGATGTAAGTTTTGTTTCGATTATTTCGACATTGTTACTTCTAAGAATAGTGTTCTGTGATACTGTGAATTAAGATGACTACCTTAAATTCTATTCCTAGAATTTCAAATTCTTTAAAGACTGGGCCTACTAAGTCAATTAAACTTTTACATCAAACTGTGTTTGCAACTTTGGGTGATCGAAAAAATAGAGCTAGATTGCGTAACTTTTGTGGTTTTCCATCTGATTTTAATATTGAAGAAACAAAACAAAAATTACTTAAAACTCTTACTGCAAATGATTTTATTTCTGTGTGTAATTTGTTACATCTTAATTATGATTCAAATCCTGATAAAAACTGTGATTTAATATTGAATAGTCTTTGTGATTTTAAGCTTTTAAAATCCGAAAGTGATGACGATAATGAGTTATCTGAAAACGAAAGGGTTTATGATTCTGATAAAAATGATGATATTAATTCTGTTCGGTCAGAATCACCTCCCATAAATAACTCAGTGGATGAAAACATTATAATGCGTAGCAATATTTCCTTACATTTTCGTGATATCTTAGAAACTGTTTCTGAATTTAATGGCACTGATACATATCCAGTTGAATCCTTCATTGGTGATTTAGAAGAATCTTTTAAATTATTTAAGTTATCGGAATTACAGAAAATTGTGTTTGCTAAAAAATTGCTTACTGGTTCTGCTAAAGTATTTATTAGGTCTTTGAAGCGTATAATATCATGGGACAAATTAAAAGAAAATCTTTTATCTGAATTTTGTTCTAAAATAAACAGTGCACAACTTCATAATTTGTTACAGAAACGACACTTAAAACCTGGTGAATCACTCTCCGAATATTTAATTGCCATGCGTGAAATAGCCAGTCGCGGTTCTGTTGATGATTCATCAATTCTTGATTACGTAATCAATGGGATACTAGATCAGAATAGTAACAAAATTGTTTTGTACGGTTGTAAAACTATTTCTGAATTCAAAGAGAAATTAAAAATTTATGAGAAAATTCGCGTTCCAGATACGAAGAATAAAGGTTATTCAAGTAACTAACACACAAAATAAAGCACGCTCTATACCCAATAAAAGTAAAGAACCAGAGGTGTTATAATTGTGGAAGTTATAGGTCATAAAGTCTAATTTCATGTAACAATAAGAATAAAGGATTATAAGTGTTTTAAATGTGATTTGTTTGGACACAAAGCCGCAGATTGTTCCAAAAGCATCATCCTAAAATATCCAATGAGGCCAAAAATGCTAATTACTCCAATAACTCAGACTTGTTCAGAAAGAAATGAAATAAAACTGTTAATTTGTGTAATTTGCAAATTGATGTTTTAATAGATACTGGTAGTCAAGTAACGCTAATCCGAGAAGATATACATAAGAAGATAGGTTCTCCTGAACTTAAGTCGGCAGATCTACAGTTAACGGAATTTGGCAACAAACCTATAGAGAGATTTGAAGGTGAATTAGAAATTGATGGTTCTTCATTTAGATCAAATATTTGTTTTATCGCAGAAAACAAGAAATCTGAGAATGATTCTGGAGAGCAAAGAAATGCTTATTGCAATGGAAATGGTTCTGAAGAAGGATTTGAAAAAGTTGTTAATTATGATTTTTTACTTCCAAAGCCAGAAACTGATCCTGTTAGTATAGTTCCTGTTACAGTACAGAATGTGATCAAACTGGATACCTCACCCACAATCAAAGCAAGTGGCAATGCTTTCCTGATTTTGAATTCTGATGACGTCCCGAGTGATGCAGATCCTGCTGTAAATGAAAATGATGCTATTAAAGATGAATTAGTGCAAAAAGGAAACTCAAGCACAATACAATTAGCTTTGATGCCAAAGCGGAGAAACGCCACTGAAAAAGGAGATTCTCAAAAGAAGCATGTTCCTAAAGAAGAGTCTCATGTTAGAGTTTGTAATGAATTAATTGCTAATTCTACTAAAAAAACTTCAGCAACATATCTGATAACAGAAAAGCAAAAGAAACCACTGGAGACAAGGAAGCTACAGAGACCACCGAAGAAGAAAAGATTGAAAAGCAAAAGTCTGTCGGAAAACCTGATCACAACGACGCTGATACGGAAAGCAAAGACGGAACAAAAGAAATTAAAGAAGGTGAGAAAAAAGAAGCGAAAAAACAGATTCAGAAGATATAGGAAGAAACCCGAAAGGCTTTGACAATGAAATACCGATTTTGATGATTTCTGATTATAGACTTTTCCCCAAGTTGACAAAATTCTCACGATTTGACTAATGGACTATTTTTTTAAAGACGTGAACTAATTTAAGGAGACTGAAGATGATGTCTAAGGATGAAATGTATGAAAGAAGACGGCTTAAAGAAAGATGATTTTGAGAAGACGCATTCGAATGACGGATCTTGAAGATATCTAACACGCATTCAGAAGACGTATCCAGACGATATCTAAGAAGACGCATTCAGACGACATTAAGACGTATGTAAAGACGAATCCAGACGAATTGTACCAGACAACATCAAAGGAAGACGTGTTTGTGAAATGTATGTATTCAGATAGACTGTTAAAGATGAACGAACACTGAAAGAGCATTAAAGAAGAGATAAAGCCGTTATTTCTGAGGATGTTAAGATGATAAGGGAAGATGGCTGAAATAAACCATTTAGGACGACTTTTTCCTCAAAAGGAACTAGAGATCTTTTTTTTTTTTTTTTTGGTTTGTTTTTTTTAATTTTATTTTTCAGATCCCTAGATGTAGACAGTGGTGCTACGAGAATTCGAGGCCGCATTCCATCAGGATGGACGAGCAGTTGTGGGATGGCATCGTTCATTATAATCGGATGACGCGACAAGCTGTGAAAATAAATCTTTTACCTTTTCCGATGATAGAAGGCAGACGATTCTGCCATTAAGACGATGACGCGACTGAAAGATGTTTGCATCTAAAAAAGACGATTCCTTCTCTTCATTTGTAAATAATCTCACCTATTCCCTTCTACGTATGTAATTACTTTGTAGTTTGTAGCAACTATTCATGTTTCATTAAATATTCAAGTTTTACATAAATCGGACTAGTTTATTAGCCCCTAGACAGCCACATCGGAAGTAAGTTTACAAACATCATATTCCTAGACAGTAAGTACCGATTCTACAATTTTTTGAATTCAAAGAAAAAAGGTTTAAAAAAAAGGAGGATAACACAAGTTCATAAAAAAAATCTGAAAGGTTTTAGATTTTAAATGTCACCTAAAAGGGTTTGTTAAGATTCTTTATGGTCTCGCTCAGCTTGCAGTCTAACAGTCTGCTGTTACACTCACCCCCCTTTCCCCCCTTCCTCTCTCTCTCTTTTTTTTTTTTTTTTTTTTTGTCTATTCAGCCTTATTTAAGCATCACTTTCTTCACACTTGCACCATATACTATCAAACAGCAAAATTACAAAAGTTTTAAAAGCAGCATAGCAGTATACGCTTAGAATTTCCAATGCAGTGTTAAGTGTTGGCATACGTTTTTTTGTTCCCCCTCCCGATATTTTCTCATTTTATCATTTTAATGTTCAGTTTTCTTACTAGGCTGGCTTTAAAAAACTTCTTTTTGTCTTTTTACTATTAACGTTCTTGTGTGTTGACTTATTAAATGTCACGTTCTTGGCACTAATGCTATATAAAATTCAATTCAACAGCAAATTCACAAACTATTTAAAAACAGCATATCTTTAGAGTTTCCAACAGACAGTCTTACACACTGGATATAAACGTTTTATTCTGTACGGTGGCCACTGAACACTTTGAATAGTAAAAAATTCATTACAGTTTTAGAAAATATGAAAGAGATAATAAAGCAAATTCAAAATTTGGGTTTCCAGGTGCTCATGTTCAAGTGGAGTACTACATTATTCAAAATTTGAGACTCTAGGTGCCGTCGTTTTTTCAGAGTGCAAGAAACATGCATGCATTCATGGAAATTCTTCATTATTTAATTTCTTTAATTAAAATAGGGAGCGATTTGGTTGCAAAAATCTGACAAGTGAGACAGCACTTTTCAGTGTTTCAGTGTTTTGATGTAAAATGACATTTTGAGACTACTATCCCATTCAGGACTAACGTCCCTTCTGCGCTAAAAGAAAAAAGAAAATCTTATTTTACATAAAGTGGAAGTAAGTATTAGTCTATGAGACATTTTGCAGAATCTAATAGTTTACATAAAAAAATAATAAAATAAATAAATAAATTATAAATTGTAGTTTCGTAAAATATTAGTCAGTTGTTTTAATAAAAATCCATATTAAAATTGAAATATTGTAACATTTAATCATGTTAGAAAATTTTCCTTTTTTAACCTACATATCAACTACTTTAAAGAAAAATAAAAGTGTTTAATTTGATACTTTTTGAACAGAAAGAATAGAAAAACGTATTACATTTATAAAATCAAATATCTGATTTAAGACTTACAATGCACAAATTAGAAAAATAGCAATTTCTATAACAATGCATTGAATAAAACAACTAACCTAAAACATAAGTTGGTGAAGTCACACGAATAAGTCTCTTTTCCCTACTAAGTATTTCATACACTGTATGGCAGATAGTCAAAAGACATCTTGCCAGAGCACCACGATCTGTTGCACCCCAGCTAAATGCTTCTTTTGGTGTACGCTTCAGACCATCTTCCTGCTTCACACAATGTTCAAAATAGGAAAGACCTTGAAGCATTTCATTTGCTTGTGACTGCTAAACATAAATAGAGCTTATTAAAATCACTCATAACTATAATGTAGTCATCAATTATCTATGAACCATACTCTTAAAAATATAGATTTGAAAGGCATAGTTCCATTTACATGCAGATTTTTTCATTAAATATAATGGCATTTTTCAGAGATTCATAACAGTCAGCAAAACTTGCAAACAAATTGAATAGCATGGAAATATTGAAGAAATTTAGAAAAAATTGCCATTAATGCATAAAACATACAAAAAAAGAAACTGATCACTTTTATTATTCACCCTTGTTAACATACACAAATCTCTTTAAAACTTTTCACTTCTGATGTTTAATGTTAGTAATGTGCAAATTCAATGTCTTGCATTATAGAGGACTAAATACCTAATTCTGCTTTATTTTAATTTTTGATTTTATTATAGGTATTATTTTTTCTTTCACTTATTCTTCTTAAAGAATAAAGTACTTAATACATAATAATAAAGGAAATGTGTGTGTGCTAATTTATGATATGGATAAGGCTTCCAGTCAGTAATAAAATTTTGGGAAAACTGTAGGTTACAATGTAAATAGTTTCAAATTATGTGCAAATAAAACTAATCAAAACTTAAGAACTTTTGTTGCTTTATGTGAGTCTTTTAGATTTTTTTATTTATTATTATTTTTTTAATAAAATCTGCCACTGAGGTGATATTCAGTTCTGGATGGCTTGAGATAGAAAAAATTTTATCTTTGGGGGAGAAACAGAGTGCCTTTTTAGACTTTCAGCCACATGCACTTATTTCAAGATCAATAAATAAAAGCTAAAAAATTAGTAAAATCTGAAATAAACATGTTACACAAAAATTTCTACATACAAGATTAAAAGAATCCACAGATGATACTCTTTCAACTCTTAATCTGGAAGGGAATTTAACACTTTTGCTAAGAGCAGAAGTTCCTGGAAAAGTAGTAATAGTAAAAATAACAGTAAAATTTAAAATACTTTGCAAACATTTACCTAAAAATAATGAAAGAGGAAAAAAAAAAATCTAACAAGATTCTGAGAAAGAATGCTGATATTTCATATTAACATGAAAATTAAAAATTTCTATTTAATCAAGAATGGAAATTTGCCAGTTTCATGATATGTTAACATGCCTATATAGAGACACTTCTTATTTAAAATATTTGGTTTGAATTTTGCTAAATATTACAGATATCTCCTTGTTTATGCATTTACGAAGGGAACAAAATTAAAAACTCTAATATAATGAATTTGATTTAAATTGCATCGTTTACAAAGTATTATAAAATAAATTATAAAAATGATGCTGGTGAAAATAATATCTAATTAATTTATAGAATATTTTAGTAAAAAAATCATAAAAATCTGCAGGAGGTTTGAACCATCATTAAACTGCAACCCTTAGAAGTAAGTCTATTAACAGTTGCAGCAGATGCAGTTAAGAAAGATGATGGCAAGAAAACTGGATTTGTGTAAAGATTTTTGATCTCTCAAGTATAATTTGTTTTCAAATTGACTCTTTTTCACTTTAAAATTTCATGATAGTATCAATATTTTTCCTTTACATTTTCAAGAAACATTCGGTATTTGGGTTTATAACTTCTAACGTAGCTGCATTTTGGGAGGCGGGAGTAATGAAGTTCTTTTGTATTTCTTCACTGTTTCCTCTACTTCTTCCATCAAATTCTATTGCATTTCCAACTCCGTTAAACTTTTATTAATGAATTTTCTTAAGCTGTGGCTTGAGAAATAGTACACATTGAATACTTTCCCCCTCGTTTTTTTCAAGTGCTAAAATTTGTAGGAAAGGGGAGGATACATGGGTAAGTATGGTATATTGAACTTAATTTTTTTTATTTGCTAAGTTTTAATATATATATATATAGATATTCTAAATAAAAGTAATTATGAGTATTTTAAAAAGGCCTATAACCTGTGCTAAAGATGCAAAGTAATAAACCAATAATTTATAATTAGAAAGCTTTTGCTATACCATCTCCAAGGAACGGAAATTCAATTATAACCATAAATTATTAAAAGAATTTTCTTTAGTCAGTATTTTAATTGAGATAGGGTGATTCAGAACTATAAGGACTATTGTTCAAAAGTGTATATATAGGTCATAAACACGATAACAAGCAAGACTCATATAAGAACATATGGTCACAAATACAATCCAGATGCGTTACATGCCCACAAAGCAGAGACTAAAAAATGCACGATAGGTCACAAATAATGATAATTTATTGTATAAAGATGAGCTTACACTGCCTTTTTGTTCATAAGAAAGTTTTAAAGCAGGTGTTCAAAGCTGCGGCCAGCAGATGTAATACATGCCTAGCAATGATGATACATATTTGCACGAATGGGTATCAGTAATAACTTCACCTGCACCAAGATTTTGTGCTACCAAATCCCTTTCCAGTTCCACAGGGGTCTCATACACTAGAGTTTTTGTATAACCTCAATGAAAAATATCAATAAGGGACAGATCTGTTGATCAAGGTGGTCACCGGATGAGCCCAGCAAGGCCAATTCATAGCCCTGAAAATGCAGAATCCAGATATTGGCAGGCAATTCAGAACAAATACACATGCATCTTGTTGAAGCCAAATCTGCTGCTGCACATGAGGTAGTATGCCACTCAGCTTTTCTGACAGGATTTGAAACAGGAAGGTGCTTATATGATAAGTCTCTCCATCTAGGATTGATGGAAACAAGTAGGGGCTATCATTTTATCATGAAGGAAACTTCTCCAGACATTGATGCTGCAGCAATGTTGAGCAGCATGGGACTGTGTGGCTCTTGGATTTTCATGCACTCATACATGCACATTGCAGATGCTTCCAGTGTAAACACTGCTTTATCAGTAAAATGGATGTCAGCTACAAAGTTAGTGACAACTTCAGTCTGCTGTACAAACCAACATGCAAATTCCTCATGCTGCTGGTGATTAATGGCAGACACAGCCTGTATACACTGCATGTGGTACAGGTGCAGCTCGTCCTCATTTAAGATATGCCAAACTTCTGGATTGAGATACATGTAAACATGCTGAAATACTTTCAGTACTTGTCCCTGGGTCATTTTTGATGTTTGACAGTACAGCTTATTCCATGCTGTGCATCCGTCTTACTCTGTCAACACCAGTATCGTCCATTCATGTTTCGAATTGATTATGTTTTCCCTCAACACTTTCCCTCTTTCCCTCAATTGATTATGCAGACATCCAGATGTGATATGAGCAAGGATACATCTCTTGGGAAACCAGGAATGAAGGTTCCCTAGCAGATGTTCCACTGCAATTAGCTGCCCTGTAAATGAGGTGCATATCCACCATTTCTCTATTCAAGCAGTGATTCATCCCAACTTATATTTATATGATTCTTGCTTGTTATCATGTTCCTGACCTATATGCAGATTTGTGAATAATAGTTCTAAAACATCCTGTATGTGTATGTATATATATATATTAGGAAGAAAAATTGTAGTGAGCTCGCCAAAAAAGTACCAGGAGCTCCCACTTGCTTAAAACTAAATAACACAAATACGGTGCAAAATAATGTAGTCTACCTTGACTTACATATTATTGATTACAATTTTGTAAAAGTTTACGACAAGAGAAGAGAATTCACTTTTTCTACACTAAAGTTAACCAACTGGAATTCAAATATTTTCAAAAGAATCATTCTAAACACATTTTATTCACAGCTACTTAGAATAAAAAGAATATGCAATATCACAGAACACCTTCAAGAAGAAATACTTTACTTTGTGACAATTTTGAAAAGTAACCTAATTCCTCATAAAATAATTAAAAATACCTTAAAAAAAGCTGGCATTAGCCTTACCAATTTTTAGATAATTTGAGTTAGATAATGAAATTTTATACTTAAAGCCCAATGGGACGGTATAAAGTGGATGGCTGATTCAGAGAATCTAATGTAAAAATGTACAGATAATTCTTGTCACTACATTTTCTTTCCTGCAACAGATTTTGGCACATTACTTTGGTACTATTGTTTTAATAGTTTTAAATTACTTTGATGGCCAATTCTACTTTTATTAACAAATCGGGCCTTTTCATTTTTCATTGTAGCTTGATTGCGCTCTAACTTGAAGAATTACGACTTTTATTAACAAATGACTTTTTTCCATTTTACTCTTACTTTTGTGGCCATGTTGAGTAATCTTTACTGAATTAGCCATTTTCACATTTAGATACAGTTTTATTCTTCTAACAACTTGACTGACGCCATTTTGAATTCTTTCCATGTCTCTTCTAGTCTTTCAACGCCCTCTTTAACTCGGGGAGTATGAGTTCCCGCCAAAGGACAATCTAATCGCATTGGCTGCTACACAGTGACATTGTTTCACCCGCCTACGTCACACGATGAGAGGGATGGTTTTTGAAAGACACAGAGGGGATAACAACCCCTTTTCAAATTTGCTTCACGTTCAAGAGGACAGCATAGCCACAGGTCTGTTTTTTATGTTTCTTTTTTTGTGTTTTTTAAAATATATTTTCTTGGTCTTAGCAAGACCCACGGCGTTTGCTTTCATTTGAATTTAATTTTAGAACTACAAATTCATAAAGGTTTAATTCTTTAAGCTTGCAGGTCCAGCCCGTACGTTATTGTATAGTTTCACTAATAGCAGACCGCTATTTATTTTATTTTTATTTTAATTTTAGCTATAATGGGACTTGCATTTACATTTTTTTACACCTTAATGTGTCATTTTTTGCGAACGTGTTGGGAAATTGGAACAGTGAATTGAAGCTCCAAAAGATTTTTTTGGGACAGTTCATATTATTTAAAAAAAATTTTCGTCACCCAAGAGCTTCAATTGTCTGTTTCGGCGAAACGCGTAATGATGTTAGCTTGGTTGGAAGTCCAACTGAAATTTACCTTGAAAAGCCAGGTTGGAAGTCGAATTAGGCTAATTTACCATTTTCCGCTTTGTAATTTTTATAATTTTTGTAATTCTATGTTTTTCATATGTTTTAATTTTGTTTCAACTTGTTCTGTCGACCAGCTTTTTATATGTGTTAACTTTTCACTTATCACCTCGATAGGTTTTTACTATATTTTTTGCCATTCACATGTTTCCAACGATTGATTTTAACAGTTTTTTATATTCTGCATTTTATTTCGCGTGTAGGCTAGTTTTTCACCCTTCAATGTCATTATTTTAAAAAATACTGTGTTGAACTATTTCTTGGAGCCACAGCTCCTGGTAACTTTTTCGCGAGCTCACTGCAATTTTTCTTCCTAATATTTCATAATTTTTGCAGCATATTGCACAAAACTTTTTAAGACCAAATAGGTCTTACAGCACAGTACTTATTAGCTTTTCAATTTCAATTATATATATATATATGTGTGTGTGTGTGTGTAAAATAAAAAAATATAAAAAGCAAACTTCTAAATTCACTATAACCTCTTTTATTTTTTATTTCATTTGGAAACTTCATCTATTTGTCCTAAAAATAGCACTTAAGTCTAAACTGTGTCATTCAAATTAATAATGCGATCTTACGTAACCCAGGTGTCTCTTGACCAATCACCAAATTGCAAACCAAAACTTTTCTCTTCGCGTGCTTCCATCTTGGATAACTACTCACTTCAGCTTCTGTCTGTGCTGTGCTAGGACAAAATATCGCTATGCTGCTTCTATTTTTACGACACAATCAGAATACTTCCTCTTTAATATAAGATAACTACGCATCAACACTGCTGCTGCTTTTCTTTTCCTTAAGCTCTTATTATTAAATATATATAAAGTGACGGGATAGAAAATCCTTTTTAAAAAGAAGTAGATTAAAATATCAAAAAATACACAATTGCTTAATTCTATACCTTTTGTTAACATGAATTTTTGAATAAAATTTCATTGCACAACAAAGAAATCTCTGTATTAAATTTATCAACATTAAAATGTAGAGTATTTTAAACAGTTAAAAATGCTTAATCTGTATAGCTATTAAAATGTTTAAAACTACCTTCCATGTCCCAAAGTGAATTAACATCTACTAAAGTTCCTGAGCGTTTGACTTTCACAGAATGTGTTGCTAAGTCATACTTCCCTTCTAGCAGAGATCCATTTTGGCTATCTGAAAGTATCAGGATTAATTAGTGTTTTCATTGAACAATTTTACTTTAAAAAACTTTATGCTTGCCATTCTGAAACCAAATTAGGTAAATGGCAATGAATAATGAAACTATATGAACCTGAATGATATGAAAGAACTCTAAATACTAAAAATGTTTCCACTTTATTGAGCATGAATATCAAAAACTGATAGCTTTCAGAAAATTATTTAAGTTTAATACAATCAATTCATATGCAGTTAGGCACAATTAAAAATGAAAATATTGAGTTTTCCTCTCATTTCTTTCCACAGAACCAAGATTCAGTTCAGCAATAGCACATACAAACAAAACTTTAAATTTATTAAAATATTAACTTTATTTCCTTTGTTTCTTAAACAAGAAAAAAGCACCATCCAAAAACTTTTTTTGGCAAGAAATCTAAAGTTTTGGTTTAAAAAATTTATTTAGAGAAAAATTAAATCCCGCATTTAAGTAGTAAAACTTATCTAAATTTTCTAAGCGAAATCATTAAACGTATTAACTCCTAGTTCATTTTGCTGGATGGTAACGATATGGTTTTCTATTACACATTTTTAAGATAGATAACTACTAATTTATGATTTTTAAATACTACTTTAAATAATTTAAAGAAGGAAGCCAATTATTAGATTAACACGAGCAAGAAATGATACTAAGGAATAAAAAGCAATAATAAAGTTCTCAAATTATGAATTATAAAAGTAAATATATGTTTTACAAGCAAGTCATTAAGATCATACTACAAGCAAGCCATAAGCATAACATGCAGCAAAATCTGCATTTATTACACAACCAGAAAAATAGCAAAAAATGAATAATCCTTTGTATGTATACATTTTACTTATTACAGTGCCAATATTTCTACTGTTAATCAAAATTAGCATGAAATTTTGATGCAGGAATAGTAAAGCATATATTGAACTTTACTACTAACATTTACTTGAAGCTTAATTTGCAACAGAGTGATAAAATGTATAAAAAGGCTTTACAAACAATATTAAAACATGCATGTAGATATTTTTGAGTTCCTAATCTGCAAATTAAGAGAACACATAGATTATTGTTCAACTTTGAAACATGTAAAATATGTGGTCACTCAGCTATGTTAAATTTTGTCATTATGTATTATTTAAATGGGAGAAAATCACAAATTTATCGTTTTCAAATAATACAAATGTGAAAGGCTTCACAGAAATCCAATTTGCTAGCTAACGAAGGCCCTTGTGGATAATTTTCACAGAACCAAAGCCAAAACTACAATTAACTGCCCCACTGTGGTCTTTATTGACGTTATGTTTATTTCTTCTTTTCAGGCATGGGATTTGTATTTCTCAATATGAAATTTTAGCATTGTCTTAGCTTGGCTGATGTATATAAATCATACCCCCCTTACCCCCCTCCAAAAAAAAGAGTTCTATAAGTTTTCCTACAACTGAAATCAGAGACGATATTTTCAAAAAGTGAATAACAGATGACTAGTGAGAAAATGACTTAAAAATTGAAGTTCTGGAGAATCCGTGCAATTTTGTGACTGACAGAAGGATGAAATGGAAGCATGACAAGGTTATCAGTGTTATGTCTAACACAGGAATGCCTTCTTTGATGGCAATATGAAATTTTTTAAAGGCTTTATCAATGACCACAGAACATCCTCTGTCAATGGCAAATGATTTCAAACAGTTAAATTTCTGAGAAAATAAAAATTCTGAAGAACAAATCTTCAGAATAAGATATACAGGGTTCGGCAGGGAACTACCTTATTTTAAAAATGAATAACACAAATAGTATAAGTGATATCATTTTAATTTTTTTCCAAGTTATAGAGAGACATTTAATTTTTTTTTATTACAGTTTAAAAATAATATCATTAAGGTGGCCTCCGTTCTGGTCAATGCAATGAGATAGTTGTTTTGAAGTTTCTTTCCACCTTAACCAGCATATCAGCGGGTAGATTGTCGATAACAGCTTGAATATTGTTCTTCAGTTGAGCCAGGGTCTTTGGACGTTAGAAATTTCAGATAGCCCCACAAAAAGAAATCTCACGGAGCTAAATCACGTGAGCATGCTGGCCACTGAAAATTACCCCGTAATGAGATAAGGTGTCCAGGGAAATAAAGAAAATTAAACCTACAAATAATACATAATTTTTTTATTAATTTTTATAGGGTAGTTATTTACTGAATATTATAGACCCATTTTACTAAATTAAGTTTCTTGCATTGTGAAAAAACAGAAAAACCTAGAGCCACCAAATTTTTAATACACATGAACTCTTACTTGAACATGTGCACCTTCAAACCTAAATTTTGAATTTTTTTAAAAAATTTGTTTCATATTTTTTGCAATTTCAATGAATTTTGATAAAAAAAATGTAAAGATTTAAAAGCTTTGTGTTGACATTCCATAAAGCATAAGATATTTATGTTTCAAACTTAATTAGAAAACTCAGCAACAAAAAAGAAAAGTGTTGCTATTTGGCAAAATGCAATATATTTGCCTCTTGAATTTAACTTATATGTCAAAAAACAGCAGTACCTAAAACAAAAAAAATTTAAACACGCAGCCTTCCACCTGAATATGTGCACCTTGAAGCCTGAATTTGTTTTTTTTATTTAAGGAGGATTTAAGGAACTTCTGATTAAAAATTCAGCATATAAATGTAGTGTGTTGCCACATGGTAAAATGCAATAAATTTCTCTTTTAAATTTAATCAACAAATTCGGTCACTTAAAAGATATAAATTGCCTCTGTCCAAATAGTTTTGTTTTTTTTTATTTTCCACTTGTTAGTGTATTGTCGTTCCACAAAACTGAAGATCGTATTTAATTTTTCTTTCAAAATTATTCTCCTATTAATTACAAACTAAGCAATTAATGCAGATTCATTTCAATTGTTACATGGATCCATTAAATCACATGTATTAGATTCTATAAAATCATTACAGTACAAAGTCCATAATCCGGACTCGTCGGGACTTCGGCGATTCCGGATTAGGGGTTTTTCCGAATTATAGATCATCAATTTAAATCTGGTAAGATGGCATGCAGAAATTATACAATTAAAAATATGAAACCATAATTTATGAAATAAAGAGCAATTATGATCTAAAGGGTATCAAATTTTACAAAAAAAAAAGTTTAATATTTATTTGTTTTCTTTATTAAACATTTCTTTCAATGCGCACATGCATAAAGCATACATTACGCATAGTCTAAATTAGAAAATTGCAACCAGAAAACTATTTGATGTGTATTCGTGATATTTATAATGATGAGGAAATTGATTAAATCATATCAAAGACTGAGTATATCGAGATGAAATACTACATTTAGTAAGGAATTATAAGGCAAATAAAATAAAAACATCTGCCCTGAAGATGAGGATAGTGCTGACAGATCAACTTCCAGTTTATTGCATGTGACGTTGCCCACCCCCCTGCAGAGCAGTGTGAAATTGATAAACAGATTTCGGAATGGTTAGAGAAACAAATCATTAAGCCAAGCTGTTCTGATTACGCAAGTAATACCATGCTAAGTAGAAAAACATGCGGTTCATTTAGTTATGTCTGGACTTAAAAAGACACTTAAAAACCCTTTCCAAATATTTAATTGCCATGTGTGAAATAGCCGGTCGCAGTTCTGTTGATGATTCATGAATTAGTAACAAAATTATTTTGTATGGGTGTAAAACTATTTCTGAAATTAAAGAGAAATTTAAAATTTATGAGAAAATCCGCGTTCCAGATACGAAGAATAAGGGTTATTCAAGTACTAACACACAAAATAAAGCATGCGCTATACCTAATAAGAGTAAAGAACCACGATGTTATAACTGTGGAAGTATAGGGCGCGTGAATGTATGCATATTCTTTATGCACATGCGTAAAGCATGCAAAAAAAAAGTTTGTGGCTTTGAGGTCCAGATTATAGATCATTCTGGATAATGGATGTCCAGATTAAGGACTTTGTACTGTATATACGAGGGCTATCCAGAAAGTAGATTACGTTTTGGAATAAAAAAATAAACAAAGTATAGGAAACAAATTTTATTATATACAGATGAAAGCCACACTCAAATACTACTTTTCTACATAGTCACCATACAAATTAAGGCATTTATCGTAGCGATGTACGAGCTTGGAAATTCCTTCGTCGAAAAATTCGGCCGCCTGCGCCTTCAACCACTTCGTTACCTCTTCTTGCAGCTGTGCGTCGTCATCAAAACGCTGCATAGCCAGCCACTTCTTCATTGCTGGGAATAGGTGGAAGTCGCTCGGTGCCAGGTCGGGACTGTACGGCGGATGAGGAAACAACTCCCACTTAAAAGATTCAAGAACTTTACGAGTGACATTTGCCGTGTGGGGCCGGGCGTTGTCGTGAATCAACAAGATCTTAGAGCTCAACATTCCTCTGCGCTTGTTTTGAATTGCTCTTCTGAGTTTTTGGAGAGTTTGGCAATACCTTTGAGAGTTTATTGTAGTGCCTCTTTCCAGGAAGTCCACCAAAATTACACCTTTTCTGTCCCAAAAAACAGTCGCCATCATCTTCCTTGCCGACATTGTTTGCATGCATTTCTTGGGTTTTTGGGGAGAACTTGTGTGCCCCCACTGCATTGATTGCAATTTCGTTTCACAGTTCACATGTTTCACCCATGTTTCGTCACCAGTAACGATGCGATCGAGTAAAGAGTCACCATCCTTATGGTAAGCGTCCAAAAAGTTCAACGCTGCAGCCATTCGCTGATTTTTGTGGTCCTCTGTCAAGATTTTTGGAATCCATCTTGCACAAAACTTGTGGTAACCAAGCTTTTCGCTGATGATTTCGTGCAACAAACTTCGCGAAATTTGTGGAAAACTCAAAGAAAGTTCCGTTATTGTGAAATTTCGATTTTCACGGACTTTAGCATCGACTTTTTCGAGAAGTTCGGGCGGTCACTATGCTGGGTCTCCCACTTCGATCTTCGTCGTGAACATTGGTTCGGCCATTTTGAAATCTTATGACCCACTGACGCACTCCACCTTCAGTGATAATGTTGTCCCCATACACTTCACGAAGCTGCCGATAGATTTCTATCGGTTTACAGTTTTTTGCAGTCAGAAACCTTATTACTGAGCGCACCTCGCGGGATTTTCAATTAACGCAGACATTTCAAACCGTCACAGTATCTGAACGGAGCACAGCACGAACCTCTCACTAGCACGGCTAGATGCAGACTGAGCTGCGCAACGCTCTGACCCCAAGATGGCCGCGCTAGCCCCGCCCCTAGCGGACACAGACGGAAACGTAATCTACTTCCTGGATGGCCCTCGTATTTTCTACTTTTTTATAACTATTTTAGGGAGCAGGCTGTGCAAGCTACTAGTTATTTAAATTGATACAAAAATTTAAAACATCTCAATAAAATAACCATAATCTTGATTTTATTTTCTTTAGAAAAAACAATAAGGATCCAGATAATTGGAGTTTGATTTAGTGGAATCCAAACACTTTTTTACTATATTGATAATAATATGAAAAATGCAATAAGCCAAAATGCACATTATAACATATGTAATAGGATACATATTATAGATTATTTTAAAAAGTTAAATATGACAAGTAATAAAAACGTACCTGTTGTACTTAATCGTGGTCTTTTAAGTGATGAAGTCTCTTCTTTCTGCATTACAGTGAAACCTCTATTTAAAAATAATAAATAAAAAAATCTATATGTTTAATAAAATAAATTTGAATATCAATGGCAATTTATTACATTACCCCAATATATTACCTACTACTTAATCAGTGGCAGATTCAAACTGCAAGAGAAGCATGCCAATGTAAAATTTAAAATTAGGCAAAAACGCAACCTGAATTTGGCATAAATTTTGCATGCTCTCTTATTGATTTCAAGATCAATCAGACAAAGATCCTTTTTTTTTAGAAGCAAAATATTTTTTGCTCTTGAAGAAGGAAGACTTGTGTCTGATCACCCTATAAGTAGATAAAATTTTATTCAAAATTAATAGCAGATTGTCTACAATACCTGCCATATTTCATTTATTATAATTAAGTACCTTGTGCCAGTTAACAGCAATTCTACTGTATTAGATACACATGCATATGAACAACAAAGTCACAAAAATGGCATTTTAAAATCCATTATTTCTATTAAAATCTGTTCATTAAATACTATCTTATTATTATTTACGCCACTGAAGATCTGACATTTTTTATGTTCAGCAAAGTATGTCTGCATACCTTTTATGTAATATGGAATAAATTACTGATTCTGGGGCTCTAAATAGACATGATGTTCCACGAAATTTCAGCTGTCCAACTGTTAGGAGAAAATTTGTCAGAGTAAGTTTTCCAGATCCTTGAAGTTGAAAAGTTCTAAAATGAAATTAAATTAAGAAAATTTTCACAAACATTATAAACATATAAATTTATTAAAATTTTATATACTTCTGTTGTTTAATTTATGAAATACATTAAAAAATAATCTACATTTAAATAAATGAACATGCATTTTTTGAGTTTTGGAAAAAATGGAGGGGGACGATCAATTAGCAAGGGAGCAAAAGTTGAAAGCCACTATTATAATGAATTTAAAATTTTAAAACAATTGAAAAAAAATGATTTCACATCTAAAATCAGTAAATGCCTATTAATGTTTTTATCATTTAAAAATCACTTACTTAAAATAATAAAACTGCTTTTACACATTATTAAAAATGTGCATATGTAAAATGAAGCAAAAGCAACAACCTTGTGTTTAACATAGATTTTAGTCAAATAATTCTCACAGTTGTTCTTGCTGACATTTGCATGCACTATTTTGAGGACAAATTATTTGAGAAACTATACTTTTGTCTCCGGATTTGAAATTGCACAAGATGTCACTTGTGCACTTTTTATACTTTTGTCTCCGGATTTGAAACTGCACAAGATGTCACTTGTGCACTTTTTGATGGTAATGAAGATTTATCCCAGATTTTATTTGTCATAAATTCGATTGATCTAGCCAGACAGTTCATTTTTTAAACTGAATCTGAGAACACCCTTTCCTTCCTTGATATTCTTATAATCTGCAATTAATCTGATTTCAGAACTACTGTTTACCATAAACTTTTTTCTGATTGTTTGCCTCCCAATGTTTAGTCATGTCAAGATGCCCTATCAAATTACACTTGACTGAATCACCCGGCAATAGAACAAATAAGCATCCCACATTATCACTGATACTTCGAGCTATTAGTACTATTTCTATTAATAAAAATGCTTTCATATTAGTGCAACCTATTTGATCTACATATCAAAAAACAACACACTTTAGCAATTTAAAATGCAACTTTTTATTATTAAATAAAAATATACTATACATAAAAAAAAAAATAAAGTTTATGTTTTTCACAAAGTATTTTAGTATATTTTTCAGAAAATCATTCCAAAAATTTTTTTACAATTTTCTCCCTATGTTTTCAGCAATTTTCGCTTTAAAAAAAAATCTGAAAATCGCACAAACTTGGAATTGCACATACCCGCAGCGTTGTGTGCCAGCTAGCCACCAAACAGTTTTCATCATTGTTCCATTTAGAGATTTTGAGAAAGAATGCTGCATTCTTCCAGAAAGCTTACTGCACTTTCTTACATGGCAAAAATATCAAGATTTGTTCATATAAACCATTAAAACTTGGAATAAAACAAAAAGAAAGCATATGAAAATGGTAATGTTACTGGACTGAAGGAATGTTATGAGCATGGTTGCCTGTGTTTGGCACATTATGAAAATTTGGTGATTTCTGCTATGGTGGTTGTGATTATATGTAAATACCAATAAATGCGCGCAGTTTGTTTCATTAGTATTTCTAGCAATGAAAACACTTTTAGATATGTCCTTACATGTCAGATAAATATTTTCTGAAGTTGTGCATTTTTTCATAGCAAAATACTTCTTTGGCATAGCTTACTTGCCTTTTGAGTTATAGTATAGTTATGAGAATGGCTTCCTGCTGTACTCAGCTGTGCAATGGAAGTAATCCTTGTAAGCACAGTTACTGAAACAATTGAAGTATTACACCAAAAAAATGTATAGCTGAAGCAGTATGGCAAGCACTGCAATCAGTGAAAGAGCAAACGGGTGCTGAATGCTTAGTAGATTTTTAATACATTCTGTTTTGCACAGAAAATGCCCATACAACAGCTACATAAGTAACAATCTTTTCAATCACAATGCTATATAATTACTTCTGTATATAGATAGGGTTCAAACCCCAATTTATGCACTGAAATCTTTTAATGTGATCTGCAACTTTGTTCTCATTTTAAATTCTTAATATGGGAAATCCAATCTAACTTTAAAATATTTTAATTCTCATTTTCACATTCAGTTCTCTTTCCATTGAGTATGAATACAGTGTAATGCTTCATTTTCCCCTCATATTTACTGATTATTAGAGCAGAAGATTTATTTCCTGAAATGACTAATTTGTATTTGGAATGCAGTGTATTGAATAAGTTGATAATAGCACTGCAATTATTGTCTGATTGCTCTTTCTATTATTATCTTTAACAACAAATTCTGTATCAGCTACATAAGTCATTGCAGTAGTATAGTTTGGCCAATCAGTTAACAAAATTCTGTTCAAAATGATATTTCATTTTACAAGACCAAAACAAGATCCTTGAGGACAACCTTTTGTTTGCTTCCTTTTTATTATTATTTTAGGATAATTAATTCACAGTCTCCTATATAGTTCATGATAACTTCAAGTAAATACAATAAGCAATGTGTTTCTTTAAGCTGTTTTATTATTACTGGACACCAAAGTTTATCAAAAAGTGCTTTTAACATCTGAGCTTAGACAGCAATTTGGATTCCTGCTGTTTTATTTTCATGAATTACTTTTTTTTATCTTAGTAAGAGTATTTAGTCATTTATTTGGTGTGAAATCCATACTGATAAAAACTTGATTCTTTTAATATGATATTTGATTCAAGTGATGATAAGTTCTTTATATAGTTTTTTATAAAGCAGAAAAAGGCAGTTTGACTAAAAAGTTTAAGGATGTACAGGCTCATTATATTTTTAAGAAATGTAACTTTGCTTTTTTTGAAAATTTTGGGAAATATTTAACATTTTGGGAAATATTTCAAAGAAAAATTCAAAATGTGCCTTACATGCTATCTTAATTATATTGTAATCTAAGACATCTGGAATTGGCACTTTCTTTTTAAGATCACTAAATACATGTTTAATTTCATCTCCAATAAAGGAAAGATCATTTTTAATATTGTATGGAATAGAATCTGATCACATTTTCTTTTGCTCTAGTAAGTCTTCAGCTGGATATCATATGAGAAAATGGAGTCTAAAACTTCAGTAAGCATATTAGAAGTAAAATTTTTTTCTGTGGTACACAATTCAGAGGTATGCAGGCACAATTCAGAAGGAGTGAACAGTTTTCTTTTACCTATTTTATGCAATATATACATTAATATTTTTGGCAAAAAACTTTTCCAGATATTTAATTTCAGTGTCAAAATTATTAGCCTGAAAAGGCTATTAGTCTCAAACCTGAGTTTTTCATTGAATCACTTTGGATATCCATATCATTTTTCATAAAACTTTTCCAGATATTTAATTTCAGTGTCAAAATTATTAGCCTGAAAAGGCTCTTAGTCGCAAACCTGAGTTTTTCATTGAATCCCTCTGGATATCCATATAATTTTTCATACAAACAGGTGCACCAATATCACTTAACCTCAGAGAAAAAATGATGTTTCGAATCAATCATAGTAGTCAGGGTCACCAGAATTTGCATGAAGCACTTTTCAGAATATTACATGTTCGTAACCCTTGAATGAATCAATGAAAATTTTTCTTTCCCATCATATGGGAAAAGAAGAATTAATTAATAATGCCAAAGAAGAATCCCCATTTCATGTTATGAAAGTTTTTGGGGTGGAGAGAAAGAAATTTTTCTGAATAAAATATCGTCAGTTACAAATGATGGTGCTCCAACAATACCATAATCGATATTTGCGTGTTGTCACAACCACCTTAGCATAAGTCACCAAATGTGGAGCCAAATTCGCCAAATTCAGAATGTGGCAAACTCTGGCAACATGAACATAACCATTCTTCAGGCAACCATGACCATAATAATCCTTTAGTCAAGCAATGCTGGCATTTTCATGTGCATTCTTTATGCTGTATTCCAAGTTCCAACCATTTTTTTATACAAACCATGATATTTTTTGCCTTAATTTCAAAATTTTTTGAAATTTGTGGAATTTGCCAGCAATAGAAAAAACTTCAATAAAGTTTCTGCAGGAATATAGAATTCTGCCCAAAAATCTCTAAAGGAAATGAAAAGATACATTTAATAGACAGCTGATGTAGACGAGATTGCTGCATATTTGGGAAAAGAATAGCACAAAAAATTACAGAAATTTTTAAAATTTTTTAATGTATCACATTTTTCTTATTATTCCCTATTAAAATATGTACTTTAAATTGCTTTTTGTATGTTTATAATGTTTAACTGATTATAAATATCAGTAGTTTTAGAATCTTTCTAAAACAATTTGTGAAATCTACCAACTCACATCCGATAAGTTACTTTTACCTTTTCATTGGTAAAAGATTGCCAAAATGCATCAAGGTGATTGCATTAATACATAAGTACCCCATAACTTGGCATTCATGGCACATTTGAAAGCAGAGATATCAAATGTAGGTGTTATTGTGTTTGACAGTGTATTATTATGATGTCAAATGTATGTGTTTATTACACATATACAGCAGCCAGCCAAAACATTATGACCACTCCCACATTTTTCAATAAACTCACCTGGATGACATGGAGGGTAAGTGATTAAGTGAGAATAATATTTAACTACTGCTGGAGAAGGTGAGGAATCCTTCTTGCACTTACTTTTGTGAGTGATGGGAAAGGCTGCTGATCTAAGCGAATTTCACAGAGGTCAGACTGTAATGGCCCGAAGACTCAGAACGAGTGTCTCTGAAACTGCATGACTGGTAGGTTGTTCATGATCTGCCACTGTTAGCATTTATGCAAAGTGGATAAATGATGATGAAACCAGTAGTAGATGCCAAGGTGTTGAACTCCACACATCATCAAAGAAAGGGGACATCAGAGACTGTCCCACTTGGTACAACAAAATCAGTGCCAGACAGTGGTTCAGCTGACAGCACAATACAATGCAGGTCCAAGTACAAGTGTTTCGGAACATACAGTTCAGCAGACACTGTTGGATATGGCACTGCACAGCAGATGTCCCACTCATGAGCTTCTGTTAACCAAGTGTCATTGTCCACTATGCCTACAGTGGGCCCAGGGAACATCAAGAGTGGAAGACTGTTGCCTGGTTAGATGAAACATGATTTCTCATTCATCACATCAATGGTCATGTCTGTACGCCATCTTCCAGGTAAACAATTGCTCTGTGCCTGCACAGCAGGTTGTACACAGGCTGTTGCGGTGGTATTACGCTTTATGGGTTGTTCCCATGAGCAATCATGAAAGCTGCCGATTATCTGAATATAACTGTGGATCAGTTGCACTCTTACATGGCATCTGTCTTCCAAACTGGAAATGGAATCTTCCAGCAAGATGTGCCCTATATCATAAGGTTAAAATTCTGTTGGAGTGGTTCGAGGAGCATAAAGATGAATTCCAATTAATATACTGGCGAACTAACTCACCAGATCTTAACCCAATAGTGCACGTTTGGTATGTCATGGAGCAGCAGCTCAGAGCTCAAACACCACCATTTTGGAATTGTTAAAATTTAAATTATTCGTATGTTAAATAAATGACATAGTCCAGGTTGAACAATCAAATACATTGGTAATATTTTGGTTACATGGAAACAAGCAACCACAGTAATGCACATCAGATAAGGACAACATGACAACAGCACTGCTGTTGCCAACTAACATTAAGTAAATATTGTGATTGGCATGCATATCTTATTTTTTTTAGCACGCCTCCTTGCCAATTACACTATGTGCAAGATATTTACATACTTCCATAAAAAATTAATCATGCTGTGGTTGTACACATTTACAGAAAAACAATGTAGCTGCTATTACATGCTTAAACACTATTGACCTCTACTTATGAATTGTATCATTAAATGAACACATATTAAGTTATACTAGGAAACACAATGTTTACATAGAAATAATTAAGAAAAATTAGTATCTAGGCTTCTTTCTGGAGTTTTAAGTCAAGTTTCTACACAGTTACTACCATAATGGTTTATGTTCAGTCACAAACTTCGAAGGAGATCATTTTTACGTGCAAGTCCTGGCATAGTTCATCTCACGTAAAAGTTTTTTCGAGATCTGCTTAGTTAGGAGATCAGCGAGATTGTCGCTGGATGGGACATGATCAAACGCAATCACATTTTCTTTCACTAGGTCTCTCAGAAAATGAAATTTAATATCAATGTGCTTACTTCTTTCAGAAGTAACATGTTTCTTGGCTAGGAATATTGCTCCTGGTTGTCGACTAGCACTTTTTGAGGTGAAGCAGCTAATTCACTACAGATTTCCTTGATCAAATTTTTAATCCATAGGATTTCCTTGGCAGTGTGACACATCGCCACAAACTCTGCTTCTGTCGATGACAAAGCTGTTGTGGGTTGCTTCTTGCTCGACCATGAGATTGGAGCCCCTGCGAGTAGCATTATATAACCACTGTAAGATTTATGGTCAGTTCTGTCATCTCCCCAGTCAGCATCTGAGTAGACTTGAAGTGGCTCACCTGTTTTCTGGAATCTCCAACTTTCTGTGTTATGTTCCTATTAGGTATCTTAGAATGTGCTTCACATCGCTCCAGTGTTCTTCAGTGTCTTTTTCATTAAATTGGCTCATGTAGGTGGAAGAATAAGCCATGTCTGGGCGAGTACCACAAGTCAGATAAAAGAAACTTTCTATAGCTTGTCTGAAAGGGATTTCCTTGCTGTTTTCTTTGATTTCCTCCCACTGTTGTTCATCTACCTTCTTATATTTTATGCTGGGGTCCATAAATATAAGAAGCTGGATATGCTGGGGATGCACATTTTGCTTCAGTCATTTTAAATGTTTCTAGGATCTCTGATACATAAATGATTTGATCTAGTGTGTCTGATCCCTTTTCTTCTTTGCATATTTGCATGGATAAGATATGGCTTGCAGGACCTAGGTCCTTGACATTGAACCTTTTCTTGATGCTTTCCTTGGATTCATTTATCTCTAGCATGTTCCCATCTATCAGGAGGTCATCAACATAAACTCCAATTATGATGTTCTTCTCATGACAAAAGTAAATACAAGGGTCTGCATTTGATCTTTTCAATCCATACTGGATCAGGAAGTCGTTCAAGCAAGTATTCCATGCATGTCCTGATTGTCCAAGACCATAAATGCTTTTCTTCAGGTGGCAGACAAGGTGTTCTTTTCCTTTCTCAATGCAGCCTTCTGGCTGTGCCATATATATATCCTCTTTTAGAATTCCATTAAGATATGCAGCTGTCACATCCATTTGGTGAACCTCTATCTTTTTCTCTGCAGCTACGGCAAGCAGTAATCTTACAGATTTAAGTTTGATGACTGGTGAAAAGGTGTCTTGAAAGTCCACTCCGGGTATTTGTAGATAGCCTTTTGCCACCAATCTGGCTTTGAACTTTGCTCAGTTTTCAATCTCGTCTTTTTTCTTATGAAACAACCATGTGGATAGTATTATCTTGGCTCCTGTTGGTTTAGTAGTTAGTTCCCATGTTTGAGCTTGAGTGAGGTTCTGAATTTCTTCCTCCATGGCTTTTAACCACATGTCAGCTTCAGGTGATTTCAGGACATCTTTTAGAGTTACTGGTTCCTTTTCTTCAGATTGTCGTATCTCTTGGGCATCGTACAGATAAAAATCTTTGAAACGTTTGGAATTTAGTAGCTAGTTTCACCATCTCTCAGCTCCCATGTGTAGGATGTTCTGAATTTCTTCCTCCATGGCTTTTAACCACATGTCAGCTTCGGGTGATTTCAGGACATCTTTTAGAGTTACTGGGTCCTTTTCTTCAGATTGTTGTATCTCTTGGGCATCGTACAGATAAAAATCTTTGAAACGTTTAGGAATTCTGGTGTTTCTTTTTTCACCTCTCTCACTCCCATGGGTAGGATTTCTGGCTGCTGCTTCGACTTCAGGGTCTAGGTTGTTAACAACGTCTTGTATCTGTGTAACTGATTGGCCTTCATCTTCGTAATCTGGAGTATTTTCAAGCTGTAGGTCTGGACATCCTTTACAATTTTGGTCAATCGTATCTGTATTTAGACGTTGGGTTTCATCCAAGTCATTTACATCAGGAATTATGTGATCTAGAGATGAGTCACGAGCTTCTATCTCAGGTAGATCCAAGGGATATTCTGATTCAAAGTCTTCAATTTTAAGAGTAGCTTCTTCTGCAGGATTGTCACACTTGATTAGTTTTAAGGAGAAAACATGTTCTTCAAAATGACATCTCAGCTGACAAAAAAAATGTTTGAAACCCTTTAGATCATAATTGCTCTTTATTTCATAAATTACGGTTTCATATTTTTAATTGTATAATTTCTGCATGCCATCTTACCAGATTTAAATTGATGATCTATAATCCGAAAAAAACCCCTAATCCGGAATCGCCAAAGTCCCAACGAGTCCAGATTACGGACTTTGTGCTGTATGTATTAAAAACTTTTATCACCATACACTTACTCTATTTTTTCTGTTGGGAAATTCAATAAAATAATAACCATAAAAAATTCTCATTTTTTAAGATTAATTAAATTTCAAATTCTGGCCTATTTTGGCAGCTTATTTAATTGAGTCAAAGAATCATAATCCCAAAATCTGAATTGGATGTACTCATAAAAAAAACTCAACTTTTAAATGGTTTAAAAAATTAAATGAGAAGATATTGAATTTTAAAAGTAAATTCTTTTTCTTTGGATTCTCTTACTTGGAATGGGTTTTAACAGCATTATCAAGAGCTTCTTCATCCATTGTGATGCCTTTCAGACGATTTATATCAGAAAGAAGAGACCTAAAGCATAATTTATGATAAAAAATTTTACTCAAAAATTCAATATTAGCAATAAAATTATTTTAAAACTAATATATTTAAGTTTTTAATTTAGTACATTCATAGTGTTTGTCATAATGGTCAAAACTTTGCCATTAATTTTTAACCTACTTCATGAAAAGCTATCAAGTTCAAATTTTATACACTGTTCATGGATGAAAATGCAGTGTGGTGATGCAATTTTTTCCAGAATTTGATTGACTTTTTTTTTTTTTTTTTCAATTTAACATTTAAACAATTTTTCAAACATAACCTTTGTTCAATAAGCAAACTAAAAATCTCAAAAATTTACTCTCTGCAACATTGGGGGAAAAAAGTTTAAAAAAAAAAGTTTAAATGAGATTTATGTCAAATTTTAAACATAATTTTTGCTTTTTCTTTTGTGAATTTTTGAAAATTGCTCGATTTTCCTGACAATTTGATGCTTATGATTTTAAAATTTCAATACCTAAAATACATCAGTTACAAAATTTTGAACTTTTCCCAAACTAAAAAACAAATTCTTTGCCCTCTTTTAAAAACAAGAATGATTTTAAAAAAATTAACTGAACATTTCATTTTGAGATTTTCATAATTTTATTGTGGTGCATAATATTATATTCTTTTATGGAACTTTAACATTCTTAAATGCATCTGTTATAAAGACTGAAAATTTTAAAGTTCATTAAAAAAACTCTTCACCCCCTTTTAAAGTAAGAATGATAAAATATATTAATTAGGTGACTTTCTACAGTTTTGTTTAATAATTTTTTAAACTAGCTGCATTTTTTAAAACTTTTATTTAACTCACTCTAGTTTTTGTCACTATGGTCAAAACTTTGACATCTCTTTTAAAACTATTCCCTGAGAAGCCATCAAGCTAACACTTTGCACTCACACTGATTATGGATGACAATAAAGTGTGATAAAGAGATTTTTCCAAAATTTGATTCAGATTTTTTATAACTGAATTTCGAAATGATATTTTCACACAGATCTTTGTTTCATGAACATATTAAAACTCTCTTCCATTGTTGGACAAAGCAGAAGAAATCTTTGAAATGCAATTTAACACTTTAACTTTTAAATGAAATTTATCATTGTAATACATCAATGATACTAAAAAGACAAAAATAAAAATTTTTAAAAAGTTTTTGCTTAAAATTTATAAAATAATTAATGAACTAAAAGGAGAAAAATATTTTCTAATAAACTTTAGCTTCTTAGAGGAGTTATTTAGATTATTAGGATTAGGCTACTGGATTATTAACTCAAATAGTTTACGTTATTTGGATATGGCAAAGCCACGAGGAACTAACAGAAGCAATGAATTCATGGAGAACTTTCTGAGAGAAATTGGTTCTATTCACATTACACATGGGGAAAACATATTGTATCATACAGTGGCAACAAGAGATTAAAGTTAAAAATTGAGAAAAAATTGAAAAAAGAAATTCTTTTTTAAATTGAGAAAATTATATCAAAAATAAAAATATTCAAAATTCATCTATGATTTTCTATAATAAATAATAAAAACTTTGATGCCTAAATAACGGAATTAAATTGCACTGCTAAAAGTATAAACCATTACCTTTATAAATTTATCAAGGATGCTACATACTTTTATAATTTATAATATAAAACTGTTGATGAATTTTTCAGAGAGAACTGCTTAATCTCTTGCTCCCACTATCCTATATGATAAATTATTTTGCTCTTTTTAGTTCATTAATTATTTTATAAATTTTAAATAAAATCTAATTTTATAACACCCCCTTTTTTGCACTTATTAGAAAATTTATAATTTAAAATGTAAAAATGGATATAAATTTTTAAGAAATCAATCAATTACTTTAAAAACAGCAGAATATCAAACTTAACCTTATATTAAATGGGCCATTTTTGAACAAAATGAGTTCCTTACCGAAATTCACTGTTCTCTAAGAAGCCATCACTGTTGCTGTCATAAAAACGAAAAATGTAACGGCAACGGATTTCTGCAGGTGGACCTCCATGTTGAGTACACTGATTCATTGCAGCCAAACCAACTATCATATCTTTATGGGTTAGATGACCATAAGAATTCAGATCAAAAGCTCTATATTACCAATAAAAAATATAATAAATAAAAAAAAAGTTATTATAACTATTTGATACAAATGCATTATATACAAAATCTCCCATTTCATCTTCTCTGGTAATGAGCTTAAGACATGGCATCTTCAAATTTTCATTATCATAAACTATGAAAGAAAATATATCAAATCTATAACATGATATAATTTCTATGTAAAGATTAATATATATATATATATATATATATTAGCCCAAAGGACTATTAATTTTGTTTTGGCATTTTGTGTTGATTCACTATAAATGTCTGTTGACTTTTCAAATTGTTGCTACCAAATATTATCGTCCTGCGTTATATTTAAAGAAATTAAATAATGAAGAATCTGCATAAATGTATATATATATGTTTCTTGCACTGTGATAAAACAATGGTACCTAGAGTCATGCAATTTTGAATAGCGTAATCTTCCACCGAATATGGGCAACTGGAACACTCAATTTGGAATTTGAAATTTGTTTTATTATCGATTTCATATTTTGTAACACTTCAACAAGTTTTTGATTAAAAAACTCAACAATTTCAAAGCGAGCAACGGTAAAATTGTATGGGGGGGAAAAAAAATTTATTTCCAGCGTGCGAGACTGTGTATTAGAAATTCTAAAGATATCAGGGTTCATAGCCACATTTTAGTTAAAAAAATAAGCACCTATAAGCACTTTTCAAGCACATTTTAAGAAAAAAAATAAGCATCTGTCTAATTACATTATACACAACTGCATAACTTCAAAAATTAGACTCGTAATTTAAAATATGAGAAATGCAGTATTTATTAAGAGAGCATAAGCATTACCTCAACCATGGAAAATAATTACTTTTTTTAAAATTTTAAATAACAGTTCAATTTACAGAACTAGCTTACAATGAGAGGGAAAAAAAAAACTATGCAGAACTAAACTATATTACAAGATTTAATGATGAAATTTCAGTTAAAAATACAGGAAATAAATAATAATAAGGCATATTTATTCTATTCGCTTGGAACTTGATAATAAATACAATTTATTTTTCCACTCATATTATTATTTAACTAATTTAAATCTAAATTCTGAACATTTTCTAAATTTTCATCGTATATCAGTTTTCCCTTAACAGATATTGCAAGCAAAGTAATTTAAGTAAAACAGAGGAACATTTCTGAAATCAGAAGACAAATTTGCTTCATGCAGTCATCCTTTAATAGTAAAAGCTTAACTAACCCGCATACTTTGAAAATTGATGAATATTCGAACAGTTGAGCGTAACTTGAAAAAAGAAAGGGGGTAGACTGTAGCCGTTCTTTAGATTTTTCCGCTAAATAACTGCTTTTGACATTTTGATATGTGCATCATATAAAAAACCGGAACTGAAAAATATTCTGCTTAGCAAGCAACTCTTTTAAGTGTTCATAAACAAATCTCAAACTGAGCATCAAAATTAATTATCTCTGCAAAATATGGCAAACATTATTGCGCAATAAGTGCACGTAAGTCTTCCCTACCTGATATTACACAATCCAAATCAATAGCTGCTGGTATTGGGAGAATAAAGAACTAATAAAGGAAAAGAGACTTACTAATCTGGGGTGTTTTTTCATTCTAATTTCCAACAGACTGCGTTAAATAATTTCCAGAATAGAATCATTCTTCGCTTGGGTTGGTAGACCACAGACCTTTTAGTCCTATTCAATCCAGATTGGAAAGTGACCAGAAAAAAAAAAAAAAAAAGAGGTCCGTTGCTTGTTTTGCAGCAAAACAGTAACAGTTTCAATATTGTAACAGTTTCAATATTCAAGATTTTGCGGAGAAATGAAAGATCCTCCCAACCTTCGTACTGTATAATGTATCGGCCAAAAAAAATGGAATTATTTTGACTATTTGATTACTTTCCCTTTATTTAAGCCATTCCGAGTATTATTAATTAGAAAGCTAATCTGTGTTAAAACACAACCAATTTTTGGAAGTTTACTATACTTCAGCAGTTACTGCAACTATGTTATTATAAACATTCATACATATGCTCATAATATAAGCATAACGATCATAATAAACATGAATATGAACTGACCAAGCAGAACGAGAATTCAAATTATTAAGATCTTGATAGAAATTCAAACGTGTGTAGTATTTGGGTGGGAGGAAAAGAATGCCGAATGTACCAGAATTTTCTACTGCTTTCGCAATTCTTTGACCAACAGAACGACGGGCAGCTGTCTATACTCTCTGCATACACCAAAGGTTATGTTAATGCAGAGAAAGGGAAAAAAGCTATTTCCGGGAGTATGATTCACCATCTGACATTCCATTTTTTATTAGGAAGAAAAGTTGTTTATTTAGTTTCGGCTTTGGTACGGGGAAAAATTGCGCGTTCATTTAAAAAAAAGCACTAAAAGCAAAAAATAAGCACTAAAAACAAAAAAAATAAGGGCTTTAAAGAAAAAGTAAGCACCTATAACTAGCTTTATATTTTATTTTCAAATATAAGCACTTATAAGGACCGCTACGAACCCTGGATATGGTCATTTTAAAATTATTTTATGATATTGCTGATGAATTGAATTTTATGGTTTCAGTGCAAAGAACATGATATTTAATAAATAATAGTAACACACAAAAGGTTAAAAAAACAGTTCCTTTGGGCGTAATGTAAAATCTGAAAGCCTTCCAGTTTTTTTTTAAAATTAAAGCTAAGTTATCTTAAGACACAATAACACGCCGAACAAATACTAATTCAGAAGTCAAACAAAAATCAGCGTTATATTTTCAAATTTTCACAGGACTAGTTTCGATGGTTTTACCGAACCACCATCCTCAGCTGCAAAAAGTGCAAATGAAGGAGATAGGATATAATGATTAGATAAGATAAGAAAGCTTGGACAGAAAATAAACTAGTGGCGCCATCTGTTGTTGAAACCAGAACTAAAACATAATTTCTTTAAAGGCCAAAGGCAAAGATGGATTGGAATAAGGATCGTTAACTAGAACAGAAAGATTTTTTTGAATGTGAAATGCCTCTAGAAAATCCAGTTCTCCAATGGAAGATGTTTTTTGAATAATTTTGGCAGCAGAAAAATTGAAAATGTGATTTTGGGACCAACAATGTTGGGCAACCGATGACTTCTGTGTTTCCTTTTTTCTAACATATGGCTCATTTTCCTTGACATGAAATTTTAAGGCTCTCTTAGTTTGGCCAATGTAAATTAAACCACATTGGCAAGGAATCCTATAAACACCCCAGGAATTCATATCCGGAATGGGGTCCTTGAGTATGGAACTCGGAATTTTATTGATGGGAGAATAAATAACCCGAAAGTTAAATTTCTGCAAAATATGTGCAAAATATGTGCATGGAAAGAAGGGAATGACAACAGAATTTGTATAATCTCCTAAAACAAGAGTGTGCCTTATAGTGTGTTGAGATGAGAATTTTTTAACTGCTTGATTAATAATGTTGGGTTAAAAGCCCCTGTCAATAGCTATTGCTTTTAAATAATTTAGTTCTTCATCAGGGGACAGTTTGGAGGAGCAAACTTGAAGAGCACGGAAAACATAGGAATAAAATTAAGTTAACTTTTGTTTAGTCGGATGACATGATTTAAAGTGTGGTGGAAGGCAAACCGATGAAGGTTTACGGCAAATTGTAGTACTGAAGTTGGATGTGTTACGTGTGACCAAAATGTCGAGAAATGGAGGAGAATTGCAAGTCTCAAGTTCAAAAGTGAACTGAATAGCAGGATCAATAGAATTCATTGTTGAAAGAACTTTATTTAAATCATCTTTATTTACCTTCAAACATAGTAAAAGTATCGTCTATGTAGCAGAACCATACTGGGAAGTTTAAAGTTTCAAACAATTTTCATTCATAATAATGCATGTAGATATCAGCCAGGATGGGACTGAGGGGGCTTCCCATGGCTAATCTCTCAGTTTGCTTGTAATACTTATTTTGGAAAAACAAAAAGTGTTTGTTTCAAAAAGAGTTGAGTGAGAGAAATTAGCTCATCAATTTTCAATGCAAGAGAAATGAAATTCGCGAAGTCTGGTTTCTAGACATCTTAATGCACTCTCCACTGGAACATTGGTGAATAATGATTTTACATCAAAAGAAACCATGAGTAAATTTCTAGGAGAAATGTTTTTAACCTTTTTTACAAACTCTATTGAATTTTTTATGGTGTAAATGTTACTGTCTAATAGAGTTGAAAAGCTAGAAAATAAATATTTAGCTAATGGATATGAGGCAGTACCTAAATTTGATACAATAGGGCGGAAAGGAATACTATTTGCATACAAGTGTTTATTGTGTGCACATACATATGCATATGTGTGCCTACACACATACATTCATACCTATGTGCATTCATATATATCTGAGTCTGGTCCTGATAACAGAAGATTACCCAGAAAGCATTAATGTTCAGAATATCCCACGAGGATTTCATCAAAATGGGATGGAGCCAAGACAATGGTGGAGATCAAGAGCCAAACATGCTAACCAGACCCCCAATACTGGTGCACAATAGTTCAGAATAATCTGGGAATTAATTATTATACAACTGCTAATCTGTTATGTTAAAAAACAGAAGTTTTTTCCATCATGCAGTGTCACGCCTTCAAAAAATTCCAAATTAACAAATTTGTTTTGAGGTCCTTTTATAATGTATACTTTGTATTAAAAAGCTAGTTCTAATATGATAAATTTCACACATCAAATAAATAAATATTTTATTAATTCTAAATTTTACTTTATGTCTTTTCACTAATTTCTTCAATATTGCAATTTCTGAAAATTTATACATTTATCAGAGTGCTATTAAACCTGATATAAACAAAATTAAGAGTAAATATGCATACAATAGAAAGAATAAATTAATAATATAATATTTAGAAATGTAAGGCGAAATTTAAATACTGACTTTCCATATTAACCATCATAAACTGCTGTATTAGAACAGAAAAATTTTAATTAATCTGAAAGGTTATGCTGCTGAAAGTTACTAGAAAAACAGAATTTACATTGTTTTAAGTTTAATTAAAGTATGACACAGCATTGGCAATTTTTTTATTTATTTACTTTTCATCATCAAAAAATTTTTATAGTCTTTTCCTTTCCTTCAATATTTAGTGCTTACCAATTCTTCTAAAAGTACATATGCAAGAGATGATCTTAATCAGATAAGTTAAAAATTGAGAAATGAATTGAGAAAATAGAAGTGTTTCCAGCTCTGTTGTCAGTTTAATTTACCTGGTCATCATATGCTCACTTCAGGTACATAAAATAGTTAATATGACCAAAATTTTGAGCTTCGAGTATTACACAATTAAATTTTTCATAATTTAAAAAAATTAAAACCTGAGAGGGTTCAGATTTTAACATTCACCTGAACAGATTCTTTTAAAGTTTAAAAAGTTTTTTAGCAAAAGGTTATCAACAGAGATGGTCCGAATAAAAAAAAAAAAAAATAAAGCATATTAGATGATTATGCATTTAGATCAACATGGGAACATTATATATCTTTTTGAATATTTAAAAAGTAAAAAAAATATGTAATGTAATTCTATGAAAATCTTTAATGCTTTCATTAGATATATCATGAATTAAAGAATTTTCATTTAAACTAATCAGATTAAAAAATAAAATAAATAAAGATAGTTAATGTTTTTAATTAAATGTATCATAAATTAAATGCATTCTTATTTAAACAGTTTGTTTATCAGTTGCAGACAAATTAAATATGAAAGAAAAATATCTTACATTTTTCTAAATGGCAACAGACTTGAATGAAAAATTAAACAACACATTTACAGTGGACTCCAGAAAAATCACATTTTGAGACTAATAGCTCATTTAGTCTAATAATTTTACTTATTTTTATGAAAATCTACAAATGTTTTGAAACTTCGAATACCTGTCTAAGTTGTAGACACCTGAAAAGCAGCATTTTAAAAATCCTGCAAAATACAGTGTACTTTATACACATGCTTTTCTTTCATACCTTTGCATCTCAAAAAGTGTAAGAAATGAATGCTAATAAACAAATATTTAAAAAATGGGAAGGCATAATTTTTTTAATGTAACCATTAAAATTTATTATAAATTTATAAAATTCAGAAATTTCGCATACCTAAATAATGATTTAATGTTCTTTTCTGCTATCAGTTCTTCCTCTCCCCAGTTAAAGGATCTCATGTAATTCTTAAAAGAATGTACATTCATAGTTTCGCAAGGATATACATGGCACATAAAGTCATAGTAAATCAAAGCTTGTCCTGAAAATTAAAATATTAACAAATATGTAAACTTTTAATCAAAATATAAAAATTAAGAGAAGGTCTCGTATTTGGCAACAGCATTTCCACTATAATATAAAGTTTCATAAGCAAGCAATTATTTCAACAAATTTTCAAAATAATTCAGTTTATATTAAAATTTTATGCATTTCATAAAAATTCAGTTGTTAATATCTTAGCAACAGCCACCTCCTACAAAAAAATCTGCATTAGAGTTCAGCAATTTAATTTTATTTATTTTTTCTTCAGTTTTTATGAATGATAATCAAGATTTAACAAAACAAATCAAATATCACATAATCATAAAATATAAATTTAACTTCAAATTTATGATGTGGAAAATATATTTAAAATACATTCATAAAAATGTATCCCACTTCATAATTAAGAATCAATGGATTCTAAAAGCAAAGAAAAATTATATAACACATGGACATATTCAGATATTATATAATATAATTTCACATGCAAAGTATTACATATAAAGCATATAAAATAAAAATTAAACAAATGTTACATACACATGCATGAACATAACTACTGCATCCTGTTTAAGTGAAAAAATGTTTTGGGGGGAAGAGAGAGAAAGGTAAAATAATATAAGAACAGATAAGATATATAAGTTGTGATTTATAATAGGCCCTTAATTCTTCTTTTTAACTTGCTTATTTCTCCTTTTTTGTCCTAAAAATAGTAATATTCTTGCATGCATATGGGTTCGTAATGAATTGAATGCACACAGAATCAATGATAGCTTCATAAAATTTATTTTACCAAAGAAAACACTTTACAATTAAAACTTTCCACAAAAATACTTGTACAGCTCTTTTCAGAATCACAGAGTACAATCAGTAATTACACTTCAAACTAAGAATGTTAAACACAATGCAAAGCAAAGTACATCTAAAAGGTGCAGTTCACAGTGAGATCTTTCAGTGCTCAATGCTGTAGTAAACAATTCAGAAATAATCTTTGATCTTTTCTTTTCTTCTGGCCTGCAACTACGATGAGTTATTAGCAGATACTTTCCCCAGTCTTACGTAGTTTTCCACCAACAGCTAGGAAATTTCTAGTACTTTCCATTTCCCAAAATTACGATTCTCAAAAGGCATATTTGCTTAAAGTTACATATAAGGGCCAGATATGGTTATAGTTACATGCAGGGATCAATTACAGTTGTACAGGGACTGGACCAAAATGTCACTAAGTTTCGTGATATTTGGCGATTTCTCACCGAATTTGTCTACAACAATTAGTCGCCAAAACCTTCGTCAGCTCGACGATATCTCACTAATTTAGCGAAACTGCCATTTACTTCAATGTTAAATAGACTTGCCCCTGTAACCTTACTTTTCGGACAGTACCATAATTTCACTAAAACTATTTACATATACACAAAATTTACAACAATATGCTTAAATAAATTTTTCTCACCTGCATCATTTCAAAATTAATCCTTGTCATAAGATTCTTATACATGTACATACATAAAAATTACTTCAGTCAATAAGAGAGCTGAATTAGCAAACAGAATCCTAACTAAGAGAAATACAGTGGAAGCATGCTTTCACTAACGTCAATCTAGCATTCATCAAAATCTTTACACTGCTGATATCATCATGTAATTTCTATTCTATAATCAATTAGATTTTCTATGAGTATGAGAAATCTGTGTGTATATTGCTTTATTAGATCTAATTCAATGGAACATGCTACAGAAACGATAATTTGTGAAAGCTTAATCATGCATCATATTACATGAAAAACTGTCACTACATATAACATGTACAAAGACAGACATATCCTCTAAAATACTTTTTGGCTTTTTGTCAAGTTAATATCAGTTGCATTGTAGAGACATTAGGTTTTTTTTTTTTTTTTTTTTTTTTTTTTTTGAAGCCAGAGAGATAAAAAATGAGCAAACACCTTCGCCGGGAATTGAACTGCCGACCTCTGGAATACGCGCTCAGTGTGCAGACCACCACACCACGAAGGCATGCCAAGATGGTGGGAGAAATACCTTATATACTCTCTCTTTTAAAGGGCGACTGGGGTTTTTTTAGGGCACCCAATCGCCAAATCGTGTGTGTGGAGGATCATCATCCAACACCCTTTTAGTTCAGGCGGCACTGTAGAGACATTAGGATTTTTTAGAAGCAGGTGAGATGAAAAATGAGCAATGCCCTCACCGGGAATCAAACCACGGACCCCTCGCCCTGTCCCAGCATGGAGACCACTACACCACGAAGGCACGCTAAAAAGTCAGGAGAAATACCTTATAGCATTATCAAAGAAATTTGAATGAATTTTTACCAATCATTTATATTCTTGGTAAATGTACATGTCTTGCATTTTGATGGTATTATTTTAATGAAATGAGAAGTGTGTGTTTAATTATTTTTGTTTACACGCTCACACATAGTACCCAGAATGGTACAAATGATTTCAGTTTCTCTTTCAAAAGTGCCAAAAAACACGGAAGATGCATAGTGAAAAAATAACATATTCTTTTATTTATCATTGATAATAAAAAGCTGCAGTGTTAATTTATTAACTAAAAAAAAGTTTACTTATTAATATGAGTTTACCTTCAGAAGTAAAACCAGCTGATTCTAGCAGCATGTCATAGCTAGATTTAGGCATATTGTCAATCTCTTGCATCTGACTTACAATGGCACCATTCACACTGTACTCAGAATAACTGCAATAAGGTTGGGATATTTCTTTCAACGTTTTCATAAGTATTACAGGTTCCATTCCTTTCAATTCAGTTTTAGACATCAGCTCAATTTCAGTAGTTGAGAACCAATTAATATTAGAGCTCTAGGAAATAGTACAATAATATAATTGATCCAGTGGCCACCAAATACACTGATAAGAAAAAAATAAAGGAACAACTGTAAAAAGGTGCTTTATGTTAATTCTATTATGTAGTCCAATAAAAGGTAGTTGTCTGGTAGCCCAAAGTCAACACTATAAAATTGTATTAGGGTTTTCACCTTCATTCACAGAAATATCTAAATTTTTTGGTGCCTACCCTTTTGGTACATATGCAAAGGACTGCAAGTGCTTCAAACTCTAACTTCAAGGATTGTATCAGTGGCTGGATAAAATTTTACACAAGGATGGTGGAACTGGGGCTAGTGCCAAATCTGTTTCAACCAGTGCGACGGCAGGAGAATTTATGGGCAGCAATTTTTTTTTTTTTTTTAATTCAGAGAAGCATCAAGCAGCAAACTTGGAATGGCAAAAATGTAGAATTTAGGAGAAAAATGCCTAGTGCCAGTTCTGAGTGGAACATTCCAGTGAGAAGGCATTAAATGGATTGTGAGAAATAGTATGCAAATGGGAGAACTGAAGCAGAACAGACTCTGACACAGTCTGTAAAGATATAAACATAGCCAAAAATGTCATGTCAAGAATCTGAAAACGGTTTAAAGACACTGGGAATGTAAGCAGAAAACAAAATCAAGGTAAAAAATATGCCATAAGACTCTCAAGATTATTTGGCAATGATTGCTAAAATTTAAGTAGATGAAGGACATCAGCCCAAATTGCAGGGAAGTGAGTGCAAAATACACTCAGTTGCAGTGGTGAAGAGATCATTGCAATTGGAATACCACGGACTGCAGGTGACTCTTCTTTGCTAATGAGTTTCATTTTTATTTAGAGAGTGAGTCAACACTATAAAATTGTATTAGGTGGATCAGGATGTAAATAAAAATGAGATTCTTGAGCCTTATGTCAAGTTTTTAGGGGTGCAATTTTTAATAACTTCTTCTTAATGGATGACATTACTTCTGATTATTCTGATCATGCTGCACCAGTAGCCAAATAATTATCTTGAGAATAAAAGAATCCAGTGGATATAGCGGCTCGCATTCTTTGGATTTAAATCTGATAGAACATGTATGGGAGGCACTAGAATGCTGACTATCATCACTGCAGCTCTATCTAGCACTCACCAGAAGCTTCAAGGCGCTATTTATTATAAATCCCTTGGTTATCACAGGAACTGCTGGATAATGTAATAGAAAGCATAGAAAATCAATTTAAAGCTTGCATTTTGATTAGGGATGACAACACACATTATCATTTTTATATGCATCTCTAAAGGCTTGTAACAATAACTTTTTCCTATTGAACTTCATATATTTTCCCAAGTTTTTAGAGTTGTTCCTTTAATTTTTTAAGTAGTGTACGTAGCGTATTCGTAAAAAAAGTACCGTTTCATTCTAGTGCTGTCGCAGCGCTGTGGTAGGCGTCCCGCGCATGCGCACTAGTCTTTCTTGTTCACTGACTTTCAATTGTCGCCATTTTGGTTGCTCTATGTTGTGTTTTCAGTTTGCTGTGCACATTCAATATGTTTAAGACAATTAGTTCTCCCGCTGACTGTGAGATTCGTGCCGTGATTAAATTTTTGAACGCGAGGAACTGTTAAACCATCCGAATTTAGCATCAAATGACAGAATTTACGGTGAATACGCGATAAGTGATGGAATGGTGAGAAAGTGGGTAAGAATGTTTAATGCAGGTCGAACAAATGTCCATGCCGAGGCTCGGAGTTTTTTGGCCTTCTGTTGTCACCGATGATTTGGTAAGGAAAGTGATGAGCAATTCATGAGAACAGACGCTTCACATACACTTTCAGAGGCATTCCACAAATTTCACGTACTATTTTGTTCGAAATTGTGTTTGACCGCTTGAATTATCGCAAACTGTGTTCCCGATGGTTTCTAAAAATGCTCACTGATGTTCACAAAACAAAACGACTTGGTAGTGTCCTGACATTTCTCACGTGATACAGTGATGAGGGAGAAAACTTTTTAAACCAAATTGTGACAGGTGATGAAACATGGGTGTGTCATTTCACACCCGAATAGAAACAACAATCGATGGAGTGAGACACACTCATTCTCCGTAAAAACAAAAGTTCAAAGTGACAAATGTCATCACAAAAAATCATGTGCACTGTCTTCTGGGATAGGAAAGGCGTTTTGCTACTGAATTTCTTCCCAGAGGGAAACCATTAGCCACGATACTGGAACTTTACAAAACTAAGGCATGCCATTCAAAACAAACGAAGAAGAATGCTCAGTAAAGAATTGTTTTGCCCTGACATGCTCGCCCCATACTGCTGGTGTCACTCAATCGTTAATCGACAGTTTCATTGGGAGCAGTTCGATCACCCGCCGTACAGCCCGACTTGGCGCCGTCCGACTATCACTCTTCCTGCACATGAACGCGAGCTTGGTGGCAAGCGCTTTGGATCTGCGATGGCACGAAAAATCTGGAGTCGTGGTTATCGAACTGGTGGAAATTTCTTGACGATGGTATACAAAAACTGGTCACCCGCTATGACAAGTGTTTGATCACTGTCGGAAACTATGTTGAAAAATAGTTTAAGATATGTATTTTCATGTAAAAATAAAATTGGATTCGAAAAAATTGTTTTACTATATTTTTTTTTCCAAAACAGTACTTAGTTTCCGAATACGCCTCGTACAATCATGATTTACATCCTGAACTTCAGAAAATAATAAAGGTTAAGGAATCGTACATAAAAAAGAATCGTACATAAAATAATTAGTACTTGTGCATTAGCTGGATGCAAAATCATTTTCCACTCTTTCAGAAACAAGAAATGTGACATTTGAACGAATTAATATTATATTAAATAAATATTCTATGAAAAAATGTGTCTTAATGATAATTAGTAATAAATTTATTTTAACTTTTTTAAAACCTTTAAACTGCAAAGTTTGATCAGTTATAATTCATAGGAAATTTCCTTTGTTTAAATAATTTTATTTTTGCTTTGATTCTATGATTAAGTTGACAAATTTTGTTTATCAATAATATGTATAACTGGGAGTGCATAAGCTATATTTGTCAATTTATTATTTGCATTAAACAGAAAATGAATCACATTACTACAGTCAAAAGTTGTTAATTCGGACACCCATAATCCGGAATGATCTATAATCCGGACCTCAAAGCTAAAAACTTTCTGCGCATGCGCCGCGTTGACATATGTGCATAGGCGTTTACGCGTGCGCATAAGACCTTTACGTGCATGCACATATGCATGTGCGCAAGTGCAGAATACGTTTTCGCGTGCACGTTTAACGTATAACGGATGGTATGAGCTAAAATTATACAATTATGTATTTCAGTTAATGTTGATGCTTGCGTTATTCCTTAATCTTCGAATTGGATGCAGCTTATTATTTTTTGCAGACTGTAAGTGCAATTTTATAAAAGTAAACCTTGATTTCGATTATGTCAATTTCCGATTCTGGAGCCCAAAGGATCTACAAACGAAAGTATTTCGTGTCATCAACAAAAAGTAATTGCTGCAAAAAATGGATAAAGACATAAAAGTGACAGAGAGGTTAGTGAAAACAAAAAATTTCGATGACAGTTAGTCGGTATTCTCGCACAGCAATTACGGACTTGAGCACGGAACTTTGTAACTGAACAGAAATTATGTCTGTTTTAGAATTAAGAGAAGTATTATCACATAAAACGCAACAACTTTACATTGAAAGAATGTTTAATAAATAAACAAATACATATTAGCTTTTTTTGTAAATTTTGATACCCTTTAGATCATAATTGTTCTTTATTTCATAAATTACATTTCATATTTTTAATTTTAGTTTGTGCATGCCATCTTATGAGATTTAAACTGATGATCTATAATCCGGAATCGCCGAAGTCCCGACGAGTCCGGATTAACGACTTTTGACTGTATAATTATTTAATTTCACATTACATAAAACATTTTTAACTGTGGAAATTAAAAATATTAACACTGTATTTTAGATAGAAAATCATGATTTGTCTATAAACATCATTAGAATTTTGAAAATAATAAAAAGAAATGCACAAAAATAAAGAAATTACTTGTTAAAACTGAAGAATTGTTACATGCACAGTAAGAGCCGTTAGCTGCATGATTTCCAGAACTGCCACATTCTGTTAATATGGTGATTTCTGCTAAGGTGATAGTGCTAATACATAAGTATCATATCGAAATAGAAAAGTTACTAGTAATTAGATTAATTACCTTTGAAATTAGATTAAACCGAAAAAGAACTGGATGTATTAATTATGGAAAAGAGTGCGAGGATTATCTACCTAAAATAGGAAATGGCATTGAGATAAATTATCTCGCATTCATATTAACATGAAGAAAATTTAATGGAAAAAAATAATCATAAGTTAATGAAAAGAAAAATTTATATGGGGAAAAAGGGAAATATACAATAATCACTGGTACTTCATTATTATTATGGCCTGTTTCATAAATGGTACAAAAATTTTCAAAATATCATGAACACAAACCATCTTCAAATGGCCGGCAACTCTCATGATGAGAAGTTTCAAATACAAGCAAATGTTAACAATTCTTAACCACTCAATAATTATTCTCATCATGAAAAGGACTCAAATATTTCATGTGCTGAAGTATTTTGATTTTCTCAAACAAAGGTGAAAATGTTTAATGCCTTTGTTTCATGTAAGATGCATTTCACTTTTATTTGAATATATGAAAATGACCATTAAATAAGACTACATATCAGTAAAAGCATTTGGAGGTGCAATGTGGAAAGCTGAAAATAAAAGAAATGCATTTGTTTTGACAATTGGTTTAGTGGTTCTAGAATACTGTTTGTAATAGCTTTATAATTTATTGACTGTTGAGCAAAGGAATTGGCCTTAATTAAATAATGGAAAAAGCAACACAGTTTTTACAAAAGCACAAATATCGACTGGAAAAGTTTTATGAGAGAGGTGTATATGGTACGTCGACAACCAAATAAGCCAAGAGGTGGCCCTAAAAAAAATTGTGAACATTAACAAAAATCTGTTCAGAAGGAAAAGAATAGTACTATCAGTGTTCTTCCACAGTACTAGCAGTAAAAATAGTACTAGGAAGGTAGTATATTTTGTGGGATAACCAAAAAAAAAAAAAAAAGACAATACTTATGGCAAAATAATTAAACAAGTATAAAGACAGATCGACGAGTTATTCAATTGTTGGCAAATATATAAAACAAAAGAATGAGTCAAGGCAGGTCAGAGACATTTTGTAAACCCTGAATTCATTTCGTTGCCCCCAAAACAGCTGCTAATACACAAAATGTTGAGAGACTGTGGCATGCCATTAAGTGGTAGAATAAAAATTAATAAGACAATTCACCATCCTTATGAGTCTTACCTTGCTCGTTCATGCGGTGGAAGTCCTTGGGATGACAAAATGCTTCTGATGCTATATTAAAAGCAATTGTGGAAACATGGCAGCCACAAAGTGTATGTGAGAAGTAAACATGAACTTGGCAATAAATCTGGCAGCAACTTGAAATTTAAAAAGCAAAGGCTATAATAATAAGGAAGTACCTTATATATTTATTGAGAGAGAAAGAAAACATAGAAACTACTTTGGTAAGATTGTGAAATGGTTCATGAAGTAGAAAATTATATATATACCAATCAGATCAGATATGACTGATAAAGTGAATTAATGTCTGAAATAATTTACCTACATTCAAGCATCATTATATTACTTTTCAAGTGATACGCAGAAAGATACTGAAACTAGCACAATTATGATACAAAAGTGTCATTCATCTAGATATCTAATAATATTTAAGCAAGCAACAGCATGCATCTTAAGATAATAATTTTAGCTATCTTGGTTAGTGTCCTGATAAGCAAACATTGATTATGTGTTGATTGGCTCAAGTTAAAATTCCAAGTAAAAGTACATACTATGAATACTATCAATCTAAAAGTCTTTTTGAATAATTCATAGCTAGGGAAAATAACAGACTCATGAAAAGAGTCACCAGTGCACTCTTATTTAAACGTATTAGGCAACATTTTCTTATTTCAAATTTCTTATGTAGTCTGGTACAAGCTTTACACACATATATGATTACACATTTCATTATACTAATAATGTTCTTATAATTTAGAATATATCATTCATCACACTTTTAGAAAATTATTATTATTATTTTTTTTTTTTTTTTATTTTTCTTTATTTTTTTTCTATTTAAAATATCTGCCATTTCTCTTTTCCTTCAAAATTCTGACCACACTTTTTAATTCCATAGAAATTTAATTCTGATAAAATTATAAAGGTTAAATGAATAAATAATAATAAAAACTATTCAAAAATATTCAGTCAAATGTTTAAACCATTACCTCTGAAATTTGCTCAACTTCTGCAAGAAATATCACTCTTTTTACTGCAGGTGCATTTAAATGGTATTGAATATGACAACATGACATACCAGATTTTCCAGAACATCCATTTGCCTGAAAAGTAAAAAATATGCCTCATAATAATATTAGAGCACAGTAAATAGTTTGAAATAAGGATATTCAGTTCAAAATATAGTAAATTTCACAAACAAAAAAATGAATATAGGGTATCTGTACTAAGAATACAGTTTTGCTGTAAAAACAAGGAAAGTGGTTTGTCAATTAGAATACATACAAAATTTTTGGTAAAATTTGAAACTCCCCCCCAAAAAAAAAAATTCACCAGATAAATCTGAATTATCCAGCAACTTTCAAATATCTTTATCAATAATAATATTTCATAAAAATCTTTACAGTATACCTTTAGTATTATTTTAAAATAAGATCTGAAATTAATGTCCCCAGAAAAAATTCAAATATACACATAACCTTTAATTTTTACATTCAACCTAAATAGAAAAATATATTTCTTATGGCACTTTTCTGACTGTGTCACTGTCACACAGATTATATGAAATTCAAGGTGTTTAAAGCATCTATGTGATGTACCTTTATCACAATATTTTCTGAAAATGACATACCACTTATTCAAAGAATCTGTTTACATGTTTCCCTATCTGTATTCTGGGTAGCAGCAGTGAGGTTTATTTAGCTTATTAAAGCATGTGTAATACTAATACAGCACAGATCCGAGATCTAGACTCGTCGGGACTTAAGCTATTCCAAATTTGGGATTTTTTTGGATATTAGATTAGTTAAAATCTAGTTGAGATGACATGTAAAAGTTATTAAAAATATGAAATAGTGATTTATGATAAAGAAAATTTTAAAAAAAAAGGTTCAATAATTATTTGTTTGCTTTAAACATTTCTTTCAATGTAAGTTGTTTAATTTGCTTCATTTATTCTACTAATCTTTCTCTTTAATTCTATAGATATAAATAGTTTCTTGTTCAGTTACAAAGTTCCATCGTTCAAGTCCTGTAATTTCTATATCAAGAATTCCTGCTAAATTGTCAACCGAAATCTTTCATTTTCAACAATCTCTCTGTCACTTTCTTCACAATCAGTAGCAACATTTCCTGGATTTAGAACCATACTATAGATTTTGCCATGTGTTATTTGATTGAATGACTGGGTAATTGTCTCCATCATTTTCATTTATTACCACTTCTCCATATTTCTTCACAAATTACATTAACTGAATATTTTGCTTTTACTTTGTGATATCTGAAAACCTTCAAATTCATGGCTATTATCATAAAGCTAAGCTAGCATTCATTATACACTGTTCGCAATGTTATTCTGCTAAATTTTGTCTTGCTTCCATCACACACTGACAAAGTTAAGTCTGAATTATATTAGTTTAGTTACTTAGGCAACCACCTTGGTGCAATTTGGCAAATTTTACAGAAAAGAAAGAATGACGACTCATAATTGCAAAACACCATTTATTACATAGAAGTATGAACAAGCACCATCAAATGCACCATGAAAAAAATTTTAAAAAATAAAGGTTGCTGGTGATCCAAAGGTTCAGATTTTAGATTTTTGCATATTCAATGGACAGATTTTGGACTTTGTATTATATAGAAATACAGATTGTTTTAAGTAACCCTATAAAAAATAATTCAGCTCAGAAACAGCTAAATAACTGATGTCATAATTTTCAGATACAATTGTCATCAAAAAATTCTTCCAACATCTTTCAGTCAGTGGCATAGCTAGGGTGAGGCAAGGGGGGACATCTGTCCCTGGGCACAGCATCGAAGAGGCGGAAAACTGATGCTACGAAATTTTTTAATGAAACATTTTCCATTCTTGTCACACAGAAAGGGGCACAAATTCTTCGTTTGCCGCGCTGGAAACTTAGCTACTCCCCTTCATGATCTTTTACACTATCTTAATATATCCAGGAGTGATGCTGTATCACTTGCAATAAGATAACGAAATGCAATATGTATTTTCATGAAATCATGTTTCACAGTATAAAATTCATGATCAAAAATAAAAACATGGACACAAATGAATTTTTACAAAAATAACAATCAGAAATGCAAAATACAACATGACTGTGTTCTACATCTCCTTCTCACGACACTCATCAAACCCTTTTCCTGTTTCTTAAGAATTATGCTCCTGCCACTAACACCATTAAATCAGTTTGTCAACCTTTTAAAAACTATAACATAACAATACAGGGAACCACGGAACCACTGCAGGCAAATATGCAATTGACTTTCAAACTGAAAAATTAAGAAAGAAAAGTCAAAGGCTTTGAGAGTACATGCAAGTGCCCTCATCTGCACACTTTTTTCAATAACAGCAAGTTGATCAAGAAATTAGTACACACATTTATTATGTTCCACATTCCATTCAACAAATTCATAACAGCATTTACTGATATGAAATTAATATCGGCATTTTCTGATATAAAATGAACATTTCTCATGTTCATGAGCCCATGAACATGAAAAATATTTGACAGCACTAAATTTTTATTTCTATCAAACTAAGTGATTTTTGTTTCAGTCTTTTCTTTTGAATCATAATTATACATAACAATAGCTATTAAAAATATATCACATATATGCAAAAATATGAGGGACAAAATGAAGCCACTAGTTTAACTGTTAATTACAGAGAACAGAAGTTTCTAATAAAGAGATTTCGTTGTGGATTAACACCATTATAAATTATTAGAAACAAATCATACATTTCAGCGGAGAGAGAATTATTTAAACCCTTTATCAGAAAAAATTGGTACCTGTAAGATGTCATCAGCACACATACCCCACGATTTACCAGGCTCAAGATTTCTATACGGAAACCACCAACCATCATTATCATAATTTTGCAGGCCAATTTTCTTATCGGCTGTTCTAATCATAAGGATACAGATTGCATCACTTAGAAATTTAGTCAAATTTTGAAACTGTTTAAGGAATTTCGAGTAATCAGCCATAATTAATATCATGCAGTTTTTCAGAAAATAATTCTATTCTTCATAGCTTACTCAGAAAAAAAATGAAAACGGAAACGAAACTGTGCGTATCATTAAAGGAACATCCGGCGTGATTTTAAATTTTGAACACTTCCATTGCACGATCAAAACAAATAAGACATGATGATGATGATGATGATAGTGGTTTACAGCAAATAGTTCTGGTGTATTAGAGTGGCTGTGTTGCAAATTTCAACAACAACAATTAAGTATTAAAAGTCGTAACAAATTCCCATAACTTAAAAAATTAATAGATTAAGGATTATAAAACAGTAGCCAGAGACAATCGCTTTCTTCTACTCTCTGTGATATTTACATTCATTATCTCAAATTAAAAATTTTATGAACATTTACTTTGCACTTTTGGATATGTTTTGACGATATATTTAAACTTTTTCAATCGCGACCCTTTTTTATCACTGAGATTTTTTTCGCGACCTCAGGATCCCATAATATTTACGAAAATTTTGCGGGACTCCATAAGCATTGCGCAAATCCAACACACGCATGAGTGAAATTGTCAGTTTTTTCACTTGTACTGTAATTTACTACTGCAGTTTTTAATTTCTAATTTTATGATATAGAATACTATGAAAACTTTAAATAAGTAATAGACGAAATGACAGCGTCACGTGCAAAGCAAGTAAAATAAACGTTTATACTACAAAAGAATGAGTCGAAATGCGTTTTCGCATTTTCTTTGTCTGTATTGTCTTATCTTTATCTATTTTCAGATACATTGTGTAAAAATATTTGGTTATTGTAAAATTATTATAATAAGTCAAAGAAATATCAAATCTGCTAAAATTTTTGGTGACCCCCTGCTGCAGGTTCCGTGGATCCCATGGGGGTCGCGATCACTCGACCCACAGTTTAAAACTCTAGTTTAGAGGAAACAGTTCTCGCGTATTTGAGTGACTATTTTGCAAATTGAATAATAATAATTAAGAATTAAAAGTCGAAGAAAATTCACAGAACTTAAAAATGAAAATGGAAAGGAATAAAAAACAGCACCCAAGGTCAGCACATAAAGTAGGCCCTTCTCTCCTACTTTATGTGATATTTACATTCACTATCACATATTTAAAATTGTATGAACATGTACTTTGCACTTTTGGATCTTATGGTTTGGTGATATACTTGTTCTTTCCAGTGAGCCTACTGATGACGATCCAATTTTCTTTTTACGCTTAACATTTTAGGTGAAAACATACAATTTAGAACTTTTGAACAATCTTAACCATCTCTTTCTTTCTTGGACTCACTGGACATGGAATCAGAATTTTATATTAGTATTTTTATAAGGCGTTTTCCGTCTCATTGACTCCACGAATTCTTTATGATCGCCGCACCCCCCCAAAAAAATTTTTTTTCAGTCTGTATTTTTCCATCCTTTGATGCAATTCGATAACACTACACACCTGCAGCACTGACAATTTATAATCTAAAATTCTAAAAGATATTGCTATTTTTTGAGGTTATCCTTTACCATTAATGTCATTAGGCTATAAGTTATTCTGAATATAATAAAGCCGTGAGGGTTATCTGCGTAAGAGGAGCGATGCCCTCGTGGAAAACTTTCTAGGAGAAATTAGCTCATATTCAGATGACACATTGGCAAAACCACCAAGCAATCCACGAAGTATAAAGATTAATGGTGACCTCGCCACGGAGTATATAATACAATGTATTATTTTAAGGGATATTAGAAACAAAATCACTCTTTTTTCCAGTACACAAATGAAAAAAGAAGGGTTGAACGTTTAAGCGCAAATAATGAAAATTAGACAGAGTGGCTAGAAACAGTATGTGAGTATGAAAGGAAATTTTAAAGAAGAAGTGTAGGTTTTTAAACAAAGAAAAAGAAACATTTTCTGACCACGATCTTCTACCATGAAACGAACAGAGTTCAACATCATATTGTCCCTGGTGATATGGTTAAGCTATGAAGGTGGTTTTAAGAGGAATGCTTTTGGACACTCCTGCAGAGATGACCAAATAACTGAAGAGTTTAATGTTATAAAAGTGTGTTCTGTAATTAAATTTCGTACATTTATTCTAAAGCGTTTGTTCCAGGTGCAGTTAGCTAACAAGCCTGGGAAATAGAAAATTTATAGAATTACTGAACTGTTAAGTTTACACATTCCGTGGATAATTAAGAACTCAAGGATTGTGTGACTTTGTATCACATCTGCCGTCATTTATTCCACTCCTCGGCTGAGCAAATTCATCCCAAGATGCATCAAGTGTGCCGTCGACCATATAAGCAGTGAATGTGATGCAAAAGTATTGAAAATTCTTACTGTAATATAAATTATCTAACTGTAATGAATGATATATTCTAACTGTAATATAGATCATACGGCCAGTTATAAAGTAATGGGCCCAAAACCCCTTAAGCATCAAGTAAAGGACTTCTGATCACGTGGCTAGCTTGAATACGAGGTTGAATATTTTTTCCTCCGTCCGATTGGGAAAGATATTCAAAAATTCAGAGGATAGTGCTAAGCCCAACAACAACTGGAAAACTGGTTTCAAGCTAATTGAATTTTCAGTCAATATTTATCTCGAAAAAGTTATTGATTCTAGGAAAGGGCAAAAAATAAGCTGGTAGCATTTCTGAATAAAAAACATCTCTGACATCTCAATTCTGAAAACATATCTGCGACATTCTTCCTTTATTCCTCATCGTTAAAGAAATTATTAGCATCTGAGTTGAAATGACAAATCAAATAACAATTTTTCGGGGTGATAAGACAACAGGAAGTGCTAAAGCCCCTCGAAGCGCCTTAGCACTTCCTGTTGAGGAAAGCTTTACATTTGCTTGTTTTTTTAGTAAAGTTTACAATTTTCCTGCTGAAGAGGAAAGCTTTACATTTAAGACTTCGAAACTAGTTCTGAGAATCTGTGAACTAATCTGCGAATTACAGTAACAGAAAAACTATATTTAA